TCTATCTGTTACATGAATTTCTACATTTCGTGATTTGTGAAATGTATCTTCTTAACGTTTAAATGCAATTTCTTAATTTGTTAACGTATTTTCTTCGTTTGTTACATGAAAGTCTAAGATCATTTCTTAATCAGTGAAATCTTATTTCTTTGTTTGAGTCACGTTTTGGGAGAATGTGTCAATGAAATTGTTACCGCTGCCAGCCAATGAGAAGTTCCGTTTCTCAATAAGACTACAAGTTACAAATCAAGAAGTTACAAATCAAGAAGTTTTACAAATCAAAATTTACAAATCAAGAATGAAATAGTTCCACAATATTCCACAAGAGATCGCTGTGGATCCATGTCAAATTGTACCTTAGTCAACTCGTGCCCAATAATAACACACTCCTACTTCTACCAACTCGTTCTTTTACCAACTCAAAGCCAATATTTTATTATTTATACGCTTTAAAGATTTTATGTTCTTTTATATAATATACAAAATACAATACAGTACAACTTAATTGATAGGTTATCTGATGCAATTTGTTTTCAAATCAAAAATATCTAAAGTTAATCATTCGTTTTTAGAAGTAAGTGATTATATGAAATTGTTTGAACGATAATTTATTTCATATCAAGTTGGATAATTATAATCATAAATATTCTAATTAGTGATTATTAGTCTGTAGCGGGGAGTGTGGAATCGGGTTCCGGGGGTTGAAACTTATGCTTTTGTATGGTTACATATGGTTGGAAACCCCTTTTGAAAATGACAGGATCCGTGCCAGTATAGTGGATAATAGGATCGGACTTACAAAAATAGATTGCGGTTGTTTAAATGAAAAATAAACAAAGATAGGTTTATGGAAACACAGATTTCGGAATAAATGCTGCACACTGAACACCAAAGACCGTTGAGTTTTACTTATTAACCTTGTAAAAGCCAAGCTGGGGGAAGATAAGGGCATAATGTATGATCTCACATTTGTGATCATGGTTTGTATCTTTTTTTGTATAAGTATATGTAAAACCGTTTGGACAATGTTTAATTCCTGGGCTTGAAAAAGATTAGAAAGGCCTTCATATATAAACTAGCTAAAAAAATCTTCTTGACGCAAAAAACAGTAAAAAAATCCTTCTCCCATATTCTATGGAGCTTTTTATACTGGTTTTTGCGTTCAACATGTGTTCAAAAAGATTTTTCTTGTTACTAGTAGTTTATTTATGAACGCCATTCGAATCTTTTTTGAAGCGATAAAGCCTGCACAGGAATTAGTCCAAAAACATAAATATAATCGTCTGGTAGGTTTAAAATATCTAAGTCAGTTAGCAGCGTTTAAAAAAAAAACCAGATATCATGTCCAAGCAAAATGTCAATGCAATCCGGAGACAGAAGTCTTTTTGTTAGGCCACAAACATGTAACAAACAAAAACTTTAAGCTATAATTCATATACACTTTTTACAGTTACATTACTGGTCGATTTCTTTTTAGATAGTCCTAGCTTCTAGCAACAACCCCCTATCTGCCAGAAGTCGGTGGAGCATTTGCGTTCGACGAGAGGACGACACCAGTAGCTGTCTTTTGCTTGGTGGGGTATCACTAACGAAAGACTCTTTCGGGTCGTGTCATAATTAGTTCAGGAAGAGCTGGTAGATTTGTCTAAAACAGTGCAAGAAATATAGTCTAGAGCTGATTGTCCAAGACGAATGATATTTCTGATTAGAAAACAAATTGCATCAGAATGTAATCAATAAAGTTGTACTTTATTGTATTTGTTTTTGTCTATATTATATAAAAGAACATGATAACTTTAATGCGTATAAATAATAAACTATTAGGTACAAGTTGGTAAAAATACGAGTTGGTAAATATTGGGTACGAGTTGGTTGAGTACAAATTGGAAAAGGTACGATTTGACATTGATCAACAGCGACCTCGTCAGGAATATTGTGGAACTATTTCATTTTTGATTTGTAAAACTTTTTGATTTGTAACTTGTTGGATTGTAACTTGTAGTTTTTTGTGCTGGCTGACAGCGGTTACAGTTACCGGACATATTCTCTCCAAACGTGACTCAAACAAAGAAATTACATTTCACAAATTTCACAAATTTCACAAATTAAGAAATATAGAATTTCATGTATCGAACGAAGAAAATACGTTAAGAAATTAAGAAATTGCATTTACACGTGAAGAAGTTACATTCCACTAATCCAAAAATGTAGAAATTCATGTAACAGATGGAAAAAATACATGTTACAAATTAAGAAATTACATTTTACAAATTAAGAATTTGCATGTTACAAATGAAGAAATTGCATTTTACAAATCAAGAAATGTATAATTATGGCGGATATTCCCGTCCATAGTATGATACATCAAAAGTTTGGAAAAAAAGTGTTTGTACTTGATTTTGATATTTATAAAAAATAGTTTATGTTTGGATAATGATAAATATGGATTGATGATATCGGATGAAATGAATACTAAATTGTATTAAAATGTAGTAGTGGTAGTATTAGTAGTAGTAGTAACAAGAATTTTAAATTATATCGTAAGAATTATGTACTTACACATGAACGAAAGATAAAAATAGTGCTTGACAACAAAGTAATAAATTGTTCAAAGGTTTACCAAATATTAAGAACACTGTGAATTTAGAAATAAGAAGATGTGGTATGATTGTCAATGAAACAGTTCTGCACCAAAGACCAAACTACATAGAAGTTCACAACTATAGGTAATCGTACGGCCTTCAAAAATAAGCAAAACCCATACTGCATAGTAAGCTATAAAAAGCCCTGAAATGATAAATGTAAAACAATTCAAACGAGAAAAACTAATGGCTTGATTTATGTACAAAACAGTGCACGAAAAAAATTTAGTATACAGCAACACACGACAACCACTGAATGACAGGCTCCTGATTAGGAGAGGCATATACATAATGTAGCGGGGTTAAACTAGTTTGCTGGCGCCAAACCCTACCCCTTACCCAGAACAGTAGTGTAACACTCCAACTTAAGAAACTATGACAATCAGTTGAAAAGGACTGAATCATCAGATTGATACAAACCAGAATTACAAGTTACAAAAAACACAACCGGACGTGGCAGGATAATTTTCATCCCCACCACAAAAGAGACACCAAGTAAAGATATGAGGGTAATCACAGTAAAGTTGCTGACAGTTAAATCGGGGTCTATAATAACCGACAAAAAAATCGTGTATATAAGACTAAAATATAAATCTGTACCCATTCAACATCCAATGGATTTAGTGTAAAAACGTCATAAACAGTCAGAGAAAAACATGACCTTGTGAAATGCCAATAAAGTTATCGACAGTTTGTTGAACCGTGATTGTTCAAATGTATATAAAAATGATATGTAGTTTGATTTTAAATATACTGATAACAAAATCAATACCAATATCAATAAATACAGTATTCAAAGATATAATTACAATGTTTAGTTGGAAATCTTTTAAAATAAGTTTATTTTTAAAAAGGATTGATAAGTTAACTCGGATCATATCTAATTTCCAGGGTCGGTAAACGATATCTCCGTAAAATGTAGGATGTGCTTTCCCGTTTGAAATAAGTTTTCAACCGGTACAAACACACGTCAAAACAAAATCTTTGTATCTATGGAAGAAGGAAAGTTAAAACCGTTTGATTTATTAAAAGTAAGTTCCTTTTGGCAATTTCGGCAGTATATTTAGAAAAGTCTTAATTTTTTAACGAAAAGATATCAAGATAACGATAAATGTTGTTGAATTATCAATTAAATGCAATTTAGACAGGTCTTTACTCAGTCTGATCATAAACTGTGATTTATAACACAGAAACCTACATAAATGTTGTCTAGGAGAAGATTAACAGCTTTAATCATCTTATCATACATCTAGTAAGTATATCATACATCTAGTAAGTATATCATACATCTAGTAAGTATATCATACATCTAGTAAGTATATCATACATCTAGTAAGTATATCATACATCTAGTAAGTATATCATACATCTAGTAAGTATATCATACATCTAGTAAGTATATCATACATCTAGTAAGTATATCATACATCTAGTAAGTATATCATACATCTAGTAAGTATATCATACATCTAGTAAGTATATCTAGTAAGTATATCTAGTAAGTATATCTAGTAAGTATATCTACCACATGTACCTTCTTCATTAAGAAGACTTGGTAAAGTTTAGGTAACCAATACATAGTAGGGACCTTCAAGTGTTTTTCATCAGACGTTGTTAAAAACATATCAAAGTATAAATGCAATGGTAACAAAACAAGACAGATATTCATTTATAGTAAGAAAGCACAGGTTTATTGGCATTCACAATGAAAGGTACCTTAACCGTCATAAGCTCATTCCTGCGAATGTGCAGCTGACTAATATTATTTGTAACTTAAGATGTTATTCTAAGTTGAAAAACAGTAATTAAAAGCTGTTTTCTTTTAGTTTTGTATTAAATAAAGTAAAAAATAGATATTGTCTGGCACAAACTTCATATTTGGTTTATAATAGTTGAAAATACCTTCACACTGTTTGCCTAAATAGCCTGGCTGACATACACATGCATATCCCTCATCCACATCGAAACATGTTCCGGCATTTCTGCAAGGGTTAGTTTTACAAGGTGTTACTGAAACAGACAAGATGTATTTAAAAAAACTGATAAGAGTTTCCCGAGGTCCTGTTTTTTGTTTGTCGACTAATTGTTTGCTGCATGTTATGTTAAAGTTTGAAAATTGACAAAACATATATAAAAATTAAATATTTTATCGGTAGTCTTGTTTCAAATATGTATTATTACGTTAATACTTTCAAATAGCAATTATAGATATAAGTAAGCAATAACATAGTATCTTTGGCAAAAAAGTTAATAAATCATGTTTATATTAACATTTTTCGTAAAAGTTATCAATTAATATAGCTTTCAAAATACAAATGTCCCTTTCATTCTCTATTTGAAAAGTTTATTGTGTCGTACCTTCACATGTTTCTCCAGAATATCCTACAGGGCAACTACAGGAGAATTTACTGCTTGTCACAGAACAGTTACCATTGTGTAGACAGGGGTTGCTCGAACATTGTGTTACTGAAATATATAACCTTTTTTTTCGTTTTGTTTTTGATAAAATTTTAACATTTTTATTTAAATAAACTCATGTTTAACCCCGCTTTAATCTGTATGTACCTGTCACAAGTCAAGTACCTGTAACTCAGTGGTTGTCGTTTGTTGTTGTATATCATATCTATTCATCGTTTATTGTTTTGAAAATAAATTAGGCCGTTAGTTTTCGTGTTTGAATTGTTTAACATTAGTCATTTCGAAGCCTTTATAGCTTGCTATGTTGTATAGGATTCTCTCATTGTTGAAGGCCAAATGGTAACCGTTGGTTTCTAGTTGCCACGTCAGTTTGGTCTTTAGAGGTGAGTTGTCGCATCATGCTACATCTTCTTATTCTTTATTCACTACAATGGTACAGTTGTATTTGACATTGTATGAATGTTTAGAAGATACTTTCATCCTTTTTATTCAACGAACAATTAGGATTAAACTTATATGTTTATTTGATAAAATCGAGAATACACTTTGAATATAATGATTATTTGAGATAGTTTTTAGTAAATCTTTACTCACATGAATAAATCTAGTGTAAGCGAAATAGCTCAAAGCAATAAATGCAATATCGTTAACTGCTCTCATTATTCGCACAAAAGGCATTTCTTAAGATGCGAAAATGGTTAGGAACTATCTACAAACCTTGTTGTGAGTTTTAACGTTAAATCGACAGTAACACATATAACGATCTATAAAAGTACTGATTAGTTGTTTCTTACTATATAAATAAAAAGAATTGCTATCTATTTTTGAAATAAAAAGGTTTACTTTTGTAATAGGTCACTTTTCTAAGGAAACATGTAATAAATACCTAGATATTATTGTCATATATGTATGTAACAGATAAGAAAAAAAAACCAAACATTACACTTCAACTTTTAATTCACCTTCACAGGATAATCCAGAGAAGCCATTTCTACATGTACACAGACAAATAGTGCCTGATACAGATTTTGTTCCTCCATTATCACAAGTAAAGCCATTACACGTATCAACTGTGAAATGGATGTAAATATAAAAGAGTATTCAATCGTTAGATAATATTCCTATTTCTACATGTTTCTGATTGACTGAGTGAAAATATATTTAAAATTGAACGACTTATTGGTAAACAAAAATGTCTGATGAGAGGTATTATGGTAGTGTGTTTGCCTCGAATGTAGGCTCTCGTTGGAATTACACCTGATCAGATCCCAAAAACACATTTACAAATCCAAACAAATATATGAGAGCAAAGAACGATAGGCTTATAGTCGGAATATCTCCTCCCAGGGTGACTTTTCTTTAGTTAATGACCCAACACATTAAAAATCGACTATACAAACAAATTCATGTGATACCAAAATGCCAATTACGCCAAATACGCATATAACATTCGACGATCATTCAACACTGCAATGCTGCAATTTAACACATCTTCATCAGGTATCAAAAGTAGAAGAATCCACATAAATATATTTAAGAAGATCAAATTTATACATAGTCTAAACAGAATAGTCAAAATCCTGTATGATCAATATTGCCCAAAGAAGTGGCTACAGTTGCCCTAAAATAAAACTTGATTATCTACGTCCATAACTTATCACGTGAGCATGTACTAGTCTGCAATAAACAGGACTGGCTTCTAGTAACTCTTGGGTCTAACGTTTAGCCAACAATGATACCGTACAAATGGTAACATTATATTTCAATGAAAGTGTTTGCACTGTGTAATCTATTAACTGAAATTTCGTCTGATCTTCCAAGAAGTAAAAGTCGATATCAATAAAAAAAAAAAAAAAATATGATAGTATTTCCGTCCACAAAATACGTGAAATAACCACAAATAATTATGCTCGAGACTAAAAATTTTGAAATTCATAGATGTAGACCATTGAAACCACAAACCCAAAAGTCCTACAGACTTTGCATGCCTAAAGGTGTGGCAACATTTTCTTCACAAATACTCATCGTCGACTTTACCTTGTTTAAAGCTTTCACCAAACTAATAATGTTTACATTAGTAGTGTATGAACTGCTTCTACTGTAGAAGCACCCGGATTCATCCTTTCTTTTGGAGAATAAAAAAAAAATCCTTATTAAATTGGCGTTGGAAGCTCTTTTTTTTTTTTAGGTCAAACAAAGCCAGGGTTGTATGAATACTTAGTTTCTGCATGTTATATAAAGTTAAACTTTTTAATTATCTTCTAAGTGAAGTTTTTTTTATTTTTTTTTGAAAAGACACCAAAGGTAAAAGGATTACAATTTGGAACGCCAGACGCGAGTTTAGTAAGCAGAAGACTGTTTTGTTGTAGTCTAATGAGGGAGGACAAAATTAATAACAAATTTGAAAAAAACGGTGAACCAATGAGTTCAAACGTTTTGACACTTTACAAACTAGAGGATCGAAGGAGCCTGTGTCGCTGGATCTATGCTCATTTTTAACTATGGGTTCTCTCCAACATTGTATAGTTGAATATAATTCATTACTAATATCTCTTTTTTGTTGATAACTTTTACTGTTTAAAGTAATTCTCTCTATGTACTATAGGTGTTGCTCTAAAATACAAAGTGAGTAAAAATCGTCGTTTAAGGGCAATAACTCCCATAAGAAGTCGCTTGATATTTTGGCGATGTTAACCTATTTGTAGAAATTGATATGTGGTAATTTTCACTGTTTACAGATTTTTTCTACTCACCAATGAATAAAATTAAAAGGGCAAAAATCATCATTAAAGTGCTATCACTCCTATAAAGGGTTGATTGACAATTTCGGCAATTCGCACATATGGTAGATATTAGCTTGCTTTGTAGACTTTTAAAATTCCTATCTATCTATCATAGTTTTCAAGATAATTGTTGAATACGCAGAAAATTGGAAATGATCGTCCTGTAAGGGCGTTGACTCCTATCAAAGGTTGACTAACACTTTGGGGCATGTTTACTTATAAATCAATCTTGTGTAGACGAACTCTTTGCTTGTTTTAAATTTCGTTCTTTCTATCATTGTTCTCAAGAAAATATACAAGAACACAAACTAAATATTAAAATTGTCATACCAGGACAATAATTCTTAAAAAGAGTTGACCAACGATTTCGGTTATTTGGCTTATCTTTCGATCTTGTGTTGTGGGTCAATTTTGCTTTTTAAAATTTTCTCTATATGGATTATATGTAAAGGCAACAGTAGTCTACCGTTGTTCAATAGTCATAAATCGATTAAGCTAAAACAAATCCGAGTCACAAATCAAAACCGAGAGAAACACATCAACTATAAGAGGAAAATCCTGAACTGCAACAAAACAAACGCCAACATACATAGAAACGGAATATTTGATAACAACTGCCATTTTCCTGTCTTGGTAAAGGAAATTTTAAGAATAATGGTGGGTTGAACCTGGGTTTATGGCTAGCCAAGCCACACGCTTATATGGCAATGTTAAAGATAACGCTAAAATGAAAACATTTATAGATTTGTTTCAAATAATAGGAAATAAAGCAAAACATTGCTAACAATCGTTATTTAAGGCCAACAACTCCTATAAGGAGTCAAAAGACGATTTCGAACATGGTACTTTTTTGTAAATCTTGTCTTGCTGATCATGTTTGTTCTTTAAGTTTTTTTTATATATCTATTATAGCTTTCGAGATGAAAGGCAAAAAAAAAAAAAAAAAACGATCGGTAAACATGGTAAGTAAAGAGCAACAATTACAATAAGGACTCGTTAGACTATTTCATCCATGTTGCCCTATTGTAGTCCAATCATCGTGATCATTGTGTAATTTTACGTTTCTCATTTTGTATAATAGTATTCAAAAATACCAGCACGGGTTGGTTGTCTGTAACGAAATATCTGTTACACAGATGACGACGGATATGTTCCAATCGTCATAACCAAAATCCAACCCTTCTTTTCCCCCGAATGTGAATGACCAAATTAGACATATCACCGGGTTTGTACTTATGTGAACAACACGACCGGTGCCACATATGGTGCAGGATCTACTTACCCTCCCGGAGCACCTGAGATCCCCCTGGTGTTTGGTAGAATTTGTGTTGCTGAGTCTGTAGTTTTCTATGTTGTATTTTAATTACTGTTATTTGTCTTTTGGTCTTTTTCTTTTTTCTTTTTGCCATGGCGTTGTCAATTTATTTTAGAGTTATGAGCTTGACTGTCCCTTTGGTATCTTCAGTACTTCTTTGACTACATCAAAACATGAAAGTCGACCTTATCGTTGTTGTTTTTGCTGGTGATCTTTCGGCCCCTAATAAACTAATCAAATCAAAGTATATTGAATTTGTTTTTGTCCTCCAGTTGCAAACTACATAAACGGAGAAAAATATATCATCAATACATATATGATCGGTGTGAAATTTTAACGTTGATATAATATTTTTTGATTTAAAAGCATTTAGTGAATTTAACTGTCTATAAAGATACCTTCACAACGTTTGCCAGAATATCCTATCGAACAAACACATACATAGCTGCCATTAACATTTAAACATGATCCCGAATTAACACAAGGACTACTGCTACATGGGGTCACTGAAACAAAGTTAAAAAAACAGAAATTGTTCATCTTTGAATTGTAAGTATTATGGCATTCATTAGAACAATTTATCAACGATGATAAACATAATTGATACAATGTACCAAGATTTATGTTCAATGATAATTTGTAACAACCACCTCAGTGGTCTAAAAAGAGCTTGCTATTTTAGATTGCAGGAATTCATTGGTTTCAAATGTATGCAGCAAAAGCGGAGTATAACCCTTAGGTATCAAATATTGTGTTTACTGCTTTTCTGTCAAACATGCAGCATTTCGTAGGAACAAAGACTTGTCATTTTGGATTCATGATGAAATAAATCATTTAAATTCCGCATACACTTTTTGGTCTACTGCAAATGGTATATATTTAAATTTCATTATCATGTTATCGTTTTGAATATAAATGTAATGTTTGTCCCTTGGTCTGAGGCTTCAGTCCACTCTTCCATCTGTCCATTCATACTTTATTGGCTTCATTAATTTTTGTATTAAAATGAATACAGCTTATAATTAGCAAGTCGATACCGCTGTTGGTGGACTATCAATCCCAGAGGGTATCATCACTTCAGTAATTAGTACTTCTGTAATGACATGTTTATAACTAACAAAACTTTTAAAATTGTCCGATTACAAATTTAGAAATAATTTAGAAACTAAGGTTTCAACTCCCTCAGGTTAAATTGACCTCATATGGATATAACTATTATTTGTATGCCCTCTTTGATACTATATCTCTTTAACTGTTTCGGTTCTTATGCAACCTTAGCTTCCAAAGATTCGCTTTTGAGCGTTCCTGATAAAGGTAAATCTAGAAAAACGCATCGTACAGATGGAATTTAAAACGTATTGTTTTAATTTTTCGTTAATATATTTGTGTATTTTTCACATTCTGTTGCAAAGGCAAATGTAGAACGCAGGCATACATTTCATTGCCCGTCTTGGAATTATCGGATTTTGTATTTGTTGGGGTGATTTAGTATTGTTTATTCATGTCGTGTCCTCACCTAACCGAAAAGTAAACAATATTATGTTCAGTTTATTAAAAAAAAAATTTAAGCATTAGTATAGATGATATTCTGTTTGTCAATTACGCCTTTATTTTATCAAATATATTATGTTAAATTTACCTTCACATAAGTTGCCAGAATATCCTTTTGAACAATTGCAACTGAAGCTGTTTCCTGATATAGAACATTTACCCTCATAAAAACAAGGATGGCTACTGCAAGGGGTTACTGCAAAAATCATAATAAATTCAAATTTCATCCTCAAATCTTACTGCAATATTTGTTTAAGATTCCTGCTTACATCCACTTCATTTGGACTGTGGTAGATAGTTGTCTCATTGACAATCATACCACTTTTCTTTATTATTATATTCAAGAATATCCGTGCTAATGCTACATTTTTAACTGTGATCAGAACTATATTGATAATCTATATATAAGATAATATGATTTATATCAAACAAAAATTGGGAAGATGTTGTCTTCTATGCTAATTCTATTGTATAAAGTGACAATAAGTATCAGTAATTTATACCTTCACATAATTTGCCAGAGTATCCTTTAGGACAAGCACATAGATTGCTGCCATTAACATTTAAGCATGATCCAGAATTTACACACGGACTACTGCTACATGGTGTCACTGAAGCAAGATCGAAAAACAGTCGAAATGTATTATGTAGGAGTTTTCACATTTTTATATAAATTTATTTTATTTATAATAACAACTTAACAGTATTCTTATCACTATATTTTTTTCATTGTAACTTTAAATTTGAGAACAGATTAAAGGTAGAGTTTGAAATTATAAATTGCTGCTTTTGAAATACGAAAATGTTAAGTTTGTGTTCACGTTCTGGTGTGATTTGCCTCCATTCCGTCGATGCTTTATTGTAGACTTGTACCTGATTTAAGTAAGTTTCTTATTTTAATAGAATAACACAAAATCATTTAATAGAATTGTTATGAACTGGCTTTTTCTGTATAAGTTCTGGAATGGATACTCGATCAATTGTGTTGACCCTCGACGGTTCAAGTCTCGAGGTCAATACAGTTATACTTGAATTTACAAAGGCAAATTACAAACAGCAAGTTAATAAAACTTACTTTAGCATTGTCACCATGTGAACTGGAACATTTAAAAACTAACTATTCGTTTTTGTATACTACTAAACTATAGATATTTGATGATATTCAAATTGTATCTTCCTTGCAATATATACAAATGCCGATTAATTACATATTGATCTGACAGAAATTAACAAAGTTCAATATATATCCGACTATACGGTATGGGTTTTTTTCATTGTTGAAGGTCGGATGGTTGCCTATAGTTGCTTACATCCTATTCATTTGAACTTTGGTGGATAGATGTCTCATTGGAAATCATACCACATCTCTTGATTATTATATTCAAGAATATCCGTGCTAATGCTACATTTGTAACTGTGATCAGAACTTTATTGACAGAGAAATTGTGATATCTAAGATAATATGATTTATCTCAAACAAGTTTTGGGAAGTTATGACTCCTGTCCTAATTTTATTGTATAATGATCAGTATTGTATAAAGTGACAATAATTATCAGTAATTTAGACCTTCACATAATTTGCCAGAGTATCCTTTAGGACAAGCACAGAGATAACTGCCATTAACATTTAAGCATGATCCCGAATTTACACACGGACTACTGCTACATGGTGTCACTGAAGTAAGATGAGAAAACAGTCTAAATGTATTATGTAGTAGTTTTCACATTTTAATATAGATTTATTTTATTCATGATAACAATTTTACAGCAAAGTAAAACATAACTTATTATTATGTGTTCGTATATTCATATTCATTAAAATACCATACATTCATTACATTGTTCCAATTGCTTTCAAACATCTTTTTAAAAATCCTCATATACTTCATTTACCTTTCATACTTACCGGAATAACGTATTATGCACCTGTAATGGGCAATTTAATATTATCGTTTTAATATGAACTGTCTTTCCCTTTTCGGTTCTAACAAATATCGTAAACATTTATGACTATTGAATAGCGGTATACTACTGTTGGCTTTATTTATATGGATGAAACCGTGTTCCCAAATAATAACATTTCTTCTTCAGATATAGTACGATTATCTTACCTTCACATAGTTTACCCGAATATCCCTCTGAACAACTGCAACTGAAGCTGTGTCCTGAGATAGAACAACTACCATCGTGAAAACAAGGCTGATTACTACAAGGTGTAACTGCAGATAAAATTAAAAAAAAATCAAACCACGCTCTACTGTTACTTACATAATTCTTTGGGTATCATTTTATTCAGATTTTTTCACTTTTAAACATTTTATGGGGGCGGGATCAATGTACCGTTTTTTAGACATCGGAATCATTTTTGCAAATATTTCCACTAAAACCGGTGCTAAGGACAGTCTCAAACTTGCAGTGACTTGAGTTTTTTCTGGTTTCGTGATGTTCCTTTGCTTTTTGTGTTTTGTTGTTTGTTTGTTTGTTTTTGCTGTGAATGTACTGACTTTTCGTCAAGGTAGAATACCCCACATCCTTTGTGTTTCTGTTATAGTTCATAGAATAATATAATGTTGTTCCATGTATCATTAATATTACATCATGTTAATTGGAATTAAATCAATGCAAATGTAGTTTACCGATGTTTAAATCTCGTCAATTGAATAAGAGTAAACATACATAAACTTAGAGAATCGCACGAACTCCTAAATGAGTTTTTTTTTAAACAAATGATTAGCAACTCTCTTGTGTCAACCATGTCATCAACGTTTTTATTACATATTTTCACTACATTTACATTTATTTTTTCTCCATTTGAATTGGTAGCATTGCTTTAACTAGTATAATGAGCATCTGACTAAAGAAGAACTATATAGTTTTAATATTTGATTACCTTAAATAATGTCCAATTCAAATAAGATCAATTTACATTTCGATTAACTTGTTAATTTACTAATGTTAAAATAAGACTTAGTACTATGAATCGATTGTATGTCCCATTTATAAATAATAGTTTGATATGTTATACCGATTAAAGTCATTTGAAAAACAATTGCATACAACAACAATGAAACGGTATGAGCAACAGTACCGTCCACATGAAAACCAGAAATACCTTCACATGATGATCCAGAGAAACCACTTCTACATGTACACTGGCAGGTTGATCCTAATACAGTTTTTGTTCCTCCATTATCACAAGGAAAGCCGTCACACGGATCAACTGTAAAATTATTTCAAATATCAAAGAATGCACAATTCCATGTGAAATAATATTACCATCGGTATATGAACTGTTTAATGGTTAAGTACCTGTCTTTGTAAGAATCATGCAGGTTCCTGTTGGTGGGCGATTCATGACCCCTCTTCAAATGTCTTTATATTTTTTTTATGAAGAAGGTATGGTATGAAAATAAGTTTCATATATAATTTTTTTTCTTTTGAACCTTGGTTGCCATGGAAACCATCCTTACAAAATTTTGCCAAAATACGTACAAAAGTAGCCTTTGAAAATTGAAATATAAAGGATTTTAAAGAACCATTGAAAAAAAGTTAATCAATACAAACAATAAGTATATTTACATTATTGACAAACAAAACCATAAACTATACAAGAACGTTAAAATTTTGAATTTACTACATAGTTCGTTTCCATAGCAACCATTTAAAAATGTGTTAAAATTCGAAAATAAAAAATTTCAAAAACTCCTAAATTTTAAATCTGTTTATCTCCCAAGACCAACAATACAATTACATGTCAGTGACAAATTTTGAAAGACAACATTCTATATATTCATAAAGTAAAAAAAGAAAGTCGTGGTTTTTTTTTTTCTTTAAAAAAATAATTTTAGTCAAAAATTGTCAATTTTCACCAAAATTCAGATTACCAAACAGATGAATAATCAAACATTTTGAACTTAAAAAGCTAAACTATTCCATTTATATGTGCATTTCTGACACACATTTGTTAATTTTAAACTAGATTATATGATTAATGAAGATATACTTGTACAAAACGAAAACTCATCGCTCTGGATATGGTGCACCCCCCCTTTTTTTTTGGAAAACATTTTTTTTTTTCAAAATTATAAAATTTGTTGAAAAAAATGTGGAATCTTATTGTGTTTACTTGTGAACTAATCATTTTAAGAATTTAAGCATGTAGTGCCTGGGATTGATGCTGTTAGTGAAAAAGAATAATATTGAACTCCAAAAACATTTAAGTCTGTGTATAAAAATAAGAGGATGTGTTGTTATTGCCAATGAGACAACTCTCCGCAAGAGACCAAATGACATAGAAATGAACAACCACAGGTCATCGTAAAGCCTTCAACAATGAGCATAACATGATTGTCTGTAAAACAAATCTTAATGAACAATTAAAAAAAAAATTTGCCCTAGACTAAGATCTGCTAAACAAGAATGCACACCCTGAAATGTCTGGTTGGTTTTATTTATCAATGAATTACTTTTGGAACTCTGTTATATAAAGATTTTAATACAAGTATCATATTAACTTAACATTATCAATGTTCTAAGAAAATGAGGTCAGGGTAAGATGAACTATGTCAGACAGACGAAATTCGGCAATTTTTCCATTTTTAAAGGAGCATAACTCATTAACAGTACAATAGTTTTCAAAGGTACCAGGATTATAATTTAATACGCCAGACCCGCGTTTCGTCTACATAAGAATCATCAGTGACGCTCAGATCAAAATAGTTATAAAGCCAAGTACAAAGTTGAAGAGCATTGAGGACCCAAAATTCCAAAAAATTGTGCCAAATACGGCTAAGGTAATCTATTCCTGGGATAAGAAAATCCTTAATTTTTCGAAATATTCAAAGTTTTTAGCAGGAAATTTATAAAAATGACCATATAATTGATATTCATGTCAACACCGAAGTGCTGACTACTGGGCTGGTGATACCATCGGGGAAGAAACGTCCACCATCAGTGTCATCGACCCAGTGGTGTAAATAGTTATCAAAGTGACACCAATAAAATTCAAACTAGATCTGTATTTTTAGGTAATAAGCATTGTGTATAAGTTTCAAAACATTTGGTTGTGGCTAACTTAAGTTAGAGAACGGAAACAAAAAAGTCAGCAATTTTTCCATTTGTAAAGGTGTATAACTCTAGAACGGACGTACTTACGAACAAGGGTACAACTTAATGCCACCTTTGCTACGGTGGGGGCATACAAATTCTACGCGTTCTGAGGAAATATATACCAACGATCTATCTTAAACTGTGCAAGACTTTGTCAATGTTTGTATGGTATATGATGGAAAAGGACAGCTTATCTATCAATTTTTTTTTAAATAACCTAATTGAATTATTATTTGTATAAGGGAGAGTTATCGCATCTTTATAGTTCTCAAAACATATTCTGCTTGTGGGCCTTAAGGAAAATTTGCTGGTCCTAACTAGTATATACTGTTTCGATTCTCAAAACCTTAGGACCACCATGTGCAAAGATCATTCATGGAATTTTGCTCAATTTTATCAATTGTTATATTTACACATTTGTATACCCCTGCCGTGGCGGAGGGGGCATTACGGTTTACCATTGTACGTCCCAAATTTGGTTTCTGTTCTCTAACTTTAGTTTGCCTCAACCAAATGTTATGAAACTTAATCATATTGCTTATTACCACAAACACAGACCAAGTTTGAATTTTGGTGGTGTCACTTTAACCGTTCTAGAGTTATGCCCTTTTACAAAAAAGAAGTATTGCTGTTTTTTTTTCGTTTCCGTTCCCTAACTTTAGTTTGTCTTTACCAAATGTTATTTAAATTATACACAATGCTTAAAACCACCAAATACAGATCAAGTTTGAATTTTGGTGGTGTCACTTTTACTGTTCTAGAGCCATGCCTCTTTACAAAGGGAAAAAGTTGCTGAATTTTTCGTTTCTTTTTTCTTTCTTTAGTTTGCCTCAACCAAATGTTATGAAACTTTTACACGATTCTTATGACCACAAAACTTGTAAAAAGTACACATTTGGTAAGTGTCACTTTTACCGTTCTTCTGTTATGTCTGTTTATAACTTTTATGATATGCAAGCGGGAGCATCATCTGTGTCCAATGGACATATTCCGCATTTATTTCAAGCTCTTTTGCATAAGTTAGATTCATTATATATTAGAATAGAAAGAACGGTTGTGTAGTTCTTCTTCAATTTCAATTTTGACACAGTTAAATCGATATAGTGACAAATAAGTGTTTGCATAAAGGATTCGATACATGTCGAATTTCATGGGAGGTAAATAGTAACAGCCATTATGTGTACATAATCTGACTCTGCGCAATAGTATACTAGTCAACAAAAGAAACGATACAAGGCAATGTATTAAATTTTCCATATATAATGAAATTGGAACACTGTACCAAACTTAATAACTGTTTCATTGGTCTAATTTTTACAGAGTGTTATTTTCTTATCAAAACCACTGATTTAAGATTAAAGACCGATTTTTTGTTTTTTTTTATTTTTGATATTTTAAAAATAGTCTTTTTTGCCAAAATATATTAGAACTTAAAATTTTAAGCTTAAACATGGTCTGCTTAAAATTTTGATTGCCGTCCGTCCTTGTGTCCATCTGGCTGTCCGTGTGTCTGTCTGTCTGCCCAGTCCTTGCAGCGCTCTCACATGTACAAATCTTGTCAGATTTTTCCGAAACTAATACTTTAGGTTAATATATGCAACATCTCAAACAAGTTATATATTGGTGGCCAATCGACTTTTTTTAAGAGTTATTACCCTTAAAAATATTAAATTTATGGAAAATGGCCTTGTTAGCGCTCTCGAGGGTACAAGTTGTTTATTTTTCATTTTCAGTATATTTCTGATAGAACGGACGTAGTTTTTTAGTTCACCATTCCATCACTTGGCGTCCGTCGTCGTCCGTCCGGTGTTTTAAAACTATTTCAAACATCTCCTCTGAATCCACTGAACCAATTCCAGCCAAACTTGAGCTGAATGATCCTTAGGATATCTAGAATAAAGTTTGTGTTTTATTTTCTATTTTGTCAAAAAACATGGCTGCCATGGCTAAAAATAGAACATAGGGGTAAAATTCAGTTTTTGGCTTATATCTCAAAAACTAAAGCATTTAGAGGAAATCTGATGTATATAAACATGTTCATTAGGTCAAGTTCTATCAGCCCTAAAATTTTCAGATGAATCTAACAACCCATTGTTGGGTTGCTGCCACTAAATTGGTAATTATAAGGAAATTTTGCAGTTTTTGGTTATTATCTTGAATATTATTAATGACATTGATAAACGGCAAACAGCAAAAAAGTTCAGCAAAGTAAGCTCTTCAAATAAGTTGAATGACCAAAATTGTCAATTGACCCCTTAAGGAGTTATTGCCCTTTAAAGAATTTTTCACAATTTGTTCATCTAGTTTGCTTACTTTAAAAAATCTTCTCCTGAAACTGCTGAATCAATTTCAGCCAAACTTGGGAGTATTTAGTATAAATTTTGTATTTTATTTCCTTGTAATTCTAGAAACATAGCCACTTTGGCTAAAATGGAACATAGGGGTAAAATGCATTTTTCTGCTTTTGAAGAAAATATGACAGATACAACATTTAAATGGAATTTTTAAGCCACTCATTGATATATATTGAAAAGCATAAATAATCATTGATGAAAGATTTAACCAAAAAATTACAGGTGATCGATTCAGGCTCTTGAGAGCCTCTTGTTTAGAGTTAAAATTTAAAGACAGTCTGAGACTAAGTTTTTTTTATATAGACTGAAATAAAACTTGGACAGAGGCTTATTTCAAGACTATGAAATAGCATCTAAAAATTTCAATTTGCACAAAAGTGTATTTCATGTATTTAGGGAAGCAGTAATCCTTTATTCAGTTATCAGCCTTTCGGCTGTTTTCTGTTGTTTGGTTGGATTGTTGTCTCTTTGACACATTCCCCATTTCTGAAAAAAATCTAATATCTAAAAATGGGGAAGGAGGTTCTATCATTGCCCTAACTCTTTGAAGAAATTTCATGCTTCAATGCTCAAAATGTTCAGAATTTAATACCATCTTTCTTTTAATTTTTGATAAATTTTATAATTTTGAAAAAAATGATTTTTTTTTCAAAAAAAGGGGGGGGCACCATGCCCAGAGAGAAAAGTTTCATTCTCTACCAACATATCTCTATCAATAATATATTCTCATTTATAATTACTAAATTTGTGTCAGAAATGCACATATAAATGGAATGATTTAGCTTTTTAAGTTCAAAATGTTTGATTATTCATCTGTTTGGCATTATTAATTTTGGTGACAATTGACAATTTTTGACTAAAATTATTTTTTTTAAAGAAAAAAAAACACACGACTTTCTTTTTATTCTATGAATATATAGAATGTTGTCTTTCAAAATTTGTCAATGAAATGTCATGGTATTGTTGTTCTTGGGAGATAAACAGATTTAAAATTTAGGAGTTTTTGAAATTTTTCATTTTCGAATTTTAAAACATTTTTAAATGGTTGCTTTGGAAACAAACTATTTGGTAAATTCAAAATTTTAACTTTTTTGAATAGTTTGGGGTTTTGTTTATTAACAATGTAAAAACCCTAATTGTTTTTATTGATTAACTTAATTTCCATGGGACTTTAAATTCCCTTATTTTAAATTTTCAAAAGGGTCTTTTTTCACATATTCAGGCAAAATGTTGTTTTGATGGTTTCCATGGCAACGGGCAATATACATGGAAAATAAAGACAGAATTTTACTTATCTTCCAAAGTTCTAATGCTATAGGGCCAAAAAAATTACTTCTGTGACATGTCATGAATCACCCCCTGCATGATTTTTAAAAAGACAGGTACTTAAATTTAAAAAATAACTTAGTTACAAGTTTCCACATAAAATATGTAGTCGCGGAGATCGTTTTTTTTTTCTTTTTTATGGGGTCATTTCTACATGGGATGCATTTTTTTGGTTAAATATAAGATCAGAATAAAGAAAAACGTTGAAATTGAAAATTGATACTTATGTGTTTAGTATCATTGATAAAAAACAAAGATTTGAAGGCTATGAGTCGACAATACGTTTGAGATACGACAGGTGTTCAGTTGTGTTGTTACCCTGTGTATAAGCGCATTGAAAATCCATTTAACTGGTCTGTCTAATATAAAACTAAATAGTTTATTATTTTGTTTCGTCTTCAACCAAATAATTCCTGGCATAAAACTTCCGGATTTTGAATTTAATCTGACAGGTACTTTATCTACACAGAAATTGCAATAATCTTTTAAAAATTGTTTCATCAATATGATTTAAATCAAACCAAACCTTGAAAAATATTGTTTTTTATTATTAATTTTATACATAAAGTGATAGTATTGATCATTAGTTTGTACCTTCACATAATTTGCCAGAATATCCAATTGAACAAACACATAAATAGCTGCCATTAACATTTAAGCATGATCCAGAATTTACACAAGGACTGCTGCTGCATGGTGTCACTAGAGCAAGATTGATAAATTAGTCATTTAGATTTTAAAATAGTAAATTGTATATTTTTATATAGATTTACTGTATCCATCAGAGGTATGTATCGGGCAAATATAACATTATTCATAACCATTAGTCCATTGCATGGGAAAGTATCTGCAAATTTATAATGTGTCATTGTGATAATGATACCGTCACCAAATTGAAAATGTAACATGCATGCAAACATAATGGTACATTCTTTGAATTGAATTTTTATAGTTTATTTTTTCTTCTCCACTACGTAAAATATAAATCCGACGTTTTCACCGTTTACATATAGGACTACCGACATTAAGTAAATGCAAATGTGACTGAACATTGGTTTTACAGAAGAACTGTCGTCAATTTATCCTTTGTCAGAATGCAAATTTCATGTCCAGTTTATTATAGTGCTTCTGAGGAAAGTCTAAAGCAGTAACATATATGAAGTCATAAGGAAATGCCTGTACCAAGCTAGGAATATGACAGTTGTTTTCAATTCGTTTGATGTGTTTGAGCTTTTGATTTTGCCATTTGTTAAGGGACTTTCCGTTTTGAATTTTCCTGAAGGACGATATTTTTGTTATTTTACTTTTTCCAGTCATAAGTTTCATTTTCATATATGTTTCGTTAAACTGACCTTCACATGAGTTGCCGGAAAATCCCTTTGAGCAATTACATCTATAGCTGTTTCCTGATATAGCACAACTACCATCATATAAACAAGGTTGGCTGGTGCAAGGTGTTACTGCAAAGAACTTTAAAAATAAATGTCAGCCTCCCTTGTTACTTAAATAATTTCTTCAGCAAGAACTTTTTAAAATATTGCTTATATGATTTCAAGAATCAAATATGTTCAATATATCATTTACATTTCATCGTATACATTGGTTTATATCGTTCTACGGCTTGATACGGAAGAAAAGAAACAATAACACTCTGGTATGAATTAAAGCGAAAGTAGTATGTTCTTCAAAGTCGTATTTTATTTGGTGTTTTAATGTTTCTTTAATTAGTGTGTCACCGATTGGTCTTTTGTAGATGAAACGCACGTATGACGTTATCAATTATAATCCCCAATGCACAAATCGCGTAAATCAAATGATATTACCCAATCTTGAAAAAACCCACGTATTCAGTTATTTCTTTTTCTTACATATGCATTTATTTCCAATTCGTAGGAATTTTTTGCAATTTTCCCTTGAATTATTTTTCATTACTAAAACAAATATACCGTTCTGCTACATTACTACATTATTTCAAATTTACTCAATAATCATCTTCATTGACGGTTTAATGTTCTAATATGAAAGTAAGTCTGATAACTATAAAATGATTTTCTGGATGCTGAGTTGAATACATGAATCGCCGATCGTTGTAGATAGCGGTTTGTTATGTCATACTGCTAAAAAATATATCACGAAAATAAAATGGTATCATCAAAAAGTCATCACATTGAAAAACAAACTTTCACATGATGGTCCAGAGGAGCCCCTTCTACATGTACACTGACAGGCTGTTCTTGACACTGTTTTTGTTCCTCCATTTTTACAGGGGAAACCTTCACACGGATCAACTGTGAAAATTATTTAGATATATAAGAGGGTGTTCAACCTCATGTGAAATATCTTATCACTATATTTTTTTATTGTAACCTTTAAGTTTAGACCAGATCAAAGTAGAGTTTGAAATTATAAATTGCTGCTTTTGTTATACGAAAAGATTTAGTTTGTGTCCGCGTTCTGGTGTGATTTGATTCCATTCCGTGGATGCTTTCTTGTAGACTTGTACCTGATTAAAGTAAGTATAGAATTTTTATGAACTTGTTTTGTTCTGTATGAATCCTGAAATGGATACTCGATCAATTGTGTTGACCCTTGACTCTTTAAGTCTCGAGACAAATACAGCTAACCTTGAATTTAAAATGGCAAATTAAAAACAGCAAGTGAATAACACTTACTTTAGTATTGTCACCATGTGAATTGGTACATTTAAAAACTAATTAAGCGTATTTGTCTTATACAAAGCTAGAGATATTTGATGATATCTAAATTGTATCTTCCTTGCAGTATATACAAATGCCGTTATATCATATTGATCTGACAGAAATTAACAAAAAATATAGCCGACTATACGGTACGGAATTTTTTCATTGTTGAAGGTCGTATGGTAGCCTCTGGTTGCTTACATCCACTTCATTTGGACTGTGGTGAATAGTTGTCTCATTGGCAATCATACCACTTTTCTTTATTGTTATACATGTATTCAAGAATATCCGTGCTAATGCTACATTTTTAACTGTGATCAGAACTATATTGATAATCTAAATATAAGATAATATGATTTATATCAAACAAAAATTGGGAAGATGTTGTCTCCTATGCTAATTCTATTGTATAAAGTGACAATAATTATCAGTAATTTATACCTTCACATAATTTGCCAGAGTATCCTTTAGGACAAGCACATAGATAGCTGCCATTAACATTTAAGCATGATCCAGAATTTACACACAGACTACTGCTACATGGTGTCACTGAAGCAAGATCGAAAAACAGTCGAAATGTATTATGTAGGAGTTTTCACATTTTTATATAAATTTATTTTATTTATAATAACAATTTAACAGCAGAGCAAAACATGAATTATTATGATTTGTTTGTAGGTTTGGGTATCATAATAAACATTCAGTATTAAATGACTTGATATTGATATTGTCCTCCTATTGGCAATAGAACCCGCTCAGAAAAAAATACCATACATTCTTTGCACTGTTCAAATTGGTTTCAAACAGCTATTTAAAAATCCTCATATACTTCATTTACGTTTCATACTTACCGGAATAACGTATTTTGCACCTGTAATGGGCTATTTAATATTCTGTTTTTAATATGAACTATCTTTCCCTTTCGGTTCTAAGAAAAATCGTAAACATTTATATTGATGAAATTGTGTTCTCAAATAATGCCATTTCTTCTTCAGATAGATTATGATTATCTTACCTTCACATAGTTTACCCGAATATCCCTTTGAACAATTGCAACTGAAGCTGTGTCCTGAGATAGAACAACTACCATCGTGAAAACAAGGCTGGTTACTACAAGGTGTTACTGCAGATAAATCAAAAAGATCAAACCAAGCTCTCCTCTTACTTAAATAATTCTTTAAGTATCATATTTTTCAGATTGATATATCATTGTAAGACCAGTTTGTGTACTAAAATTTTAATAAGACGCACACCATCTTTAATTGGCCCTCATTCCTAACTACGCTAAATTTTTCACTTCTAAACATTTTATTGAGGCCGGATCAATATACCGTTATTTGGACCCGTACAGGTTAACAGAACTTTAGATAATCCAAACCAGGTACTTCATATCTGAGAAAGAAGCAACATATACCCTCAATTTTAGAAGACGAAGATGATATTCAAAATGCTGGACTTTTTAATCGACAATATATTTGTTGTGTTTGGAGGATTTATATTTCAACAGAAAATTGGTATTCCAATGGGTACTAATTATGCATCCCTTCTGGCCGACTTGTTTTTGTACTCGTATGAAGCAGAATTCATTCAAAAAAACAGCTTGCAAAATTCTTTGGTTTTACTTTCAGATATATTGATGATGCCCTATCACTGAATTACCCATATTTTAGTCAGTACTTGCATCTCATAAATCCCAGTGAACTTGAAATTAAGGATACTACTGTTACTAGAAGGACTGCTTCATATCGTGATCTTTTCCTCAATATTAAAAAAGGCAACAGTAGTATACCGGTGAGAGAAAACAAATCCGGGCCACAAACTAAAACCGAGGGAAACACATTATCCATAAGAGGAAAACAAAGGAACAACAGGAACACCGAAGCGCAACAAAAACAAACGCCAACATACATAGAAACGAACTACTTGATAACAACTGCCATATTCTTGAGTTGGTACAAGACATTTTAAGAAAAAATCGTGGGTTGAACCTGCTTTAATGGCTAGCCAAACCTCCCGCTTTATGACAATGTTAACTAATTGCGCTAAAATGACAACACTACGTGACAGAAATACAACACAAACACACACAAGAACATTCATCACAGAGAAACGCACAAACAAATAATAAAATAGTCGACACAACATGCAAACCGAAGAATAACAACGAACATATTCCATCAGCGACAGACACCACAGAATATCACAAACAGTAATTAACATGCAATCTCAAACTTTATACAATTATTTTCACAATATTCGTCCAAACAACTTTTATGACAATGATGGTATTGAAAGGCAATTTTATAATTATTTGGACTACAACGATAAGACATAACACATTATCCAACCGAAACCATAACAGAAACATCAAAAATAAATACATGAATGTTGGATGTACACAATACTGAGACACGTCGTATAGCAATGCAAATTCACACTCGGTATAACAGTTCTATTCGGGAATAGGTCACGTTCGGTACTTAGATGGACGACGTCATACTAAAATCTATGACAAACGGGATGATTTCAACTTCCCAATTATCAATTTTCCATTTCTCAGCAGTAACATACCCTCTGCTCCGTCGTATGGTGTTTACATATCTCAATTGATACGTTATGCTCGTGCATGTTCACACTTTACGGACTTCATATGCAGGAGTGCTCCTTACGCAGGCACTGCTCCAACAGAGTTATGATGAGGAAAGATTAAAAATGACACTCCGTAAATTTTATGGACACCATCACGAATTGGTTGATCTATACGATATTTTTACCACGTCTTAGATTGTGGTTTAACATCTATGTCGTCTGTCTTCTAAAGTACCGAACGTGACCTATTCCCAAATATGACTATTTTGCCGAGTGTGAAATTGCATTGCTATACGACGTGTCTCGGTATTTATACATCCAACATTCATGTATTTATTTATGATGTTTCTGTTGTGGTTTCAATTGGATATTGTGTTATGTCTTATCGTTTGTTGTTTGAAATCTGTATTTTCGGTGCATTTCACATATGTCTTATTTGTCAGTATAGTTGAGTGAATTTCCATTTTACCATGGATAAAGTATTGTGTTAGTCCAAATTATTATGAAGTCGTCACAGCATTTATTTAAAACAGCTTTTCAATACCGTCATAGTCATGATAATTGTTTGGACTAGTATTGTGAAAATAATTGTATGAATTTCAAGATTATATCTTCGTTACAAAAATACGTCACTGCTTGTGATGTCCTGTGCTGTTGTTAATGGAAAATGTTCGTTGTTATTCTGCGGTTTAAATGTTGTAACGACTATTATATAATTTATTTGTGCGTTTCTCTGTGCTGAGTTTTCTTGCTTTTGTTTGTGCTGTATTTCTGTCACGTAGTGTTGTCATTTTAGCGATTTTTTTTAACATTGCCATATAAGCGGGAGGTTTGGCTAGCCATAAAACCAGGTTCAACAAACCATTTGTTTTTTTAAAATGCCCTGCACCAAGTCAGGGATATGGCAGTTGTTATCAAATAGTTCGTTTCTATGTATGTTGGCGTTTGTTTTTTGTTGCACTTCAGTGTTTCTGTTAATCCGTTGTTTTCCTCTTATATTTGATGTGTTTCCCTCGGTTTTAGTTTGTAACTCGGGTTTGTTTTTCTCTCAATCGATTGATGACTTTTGAACAGCGGTATACTACTGTTGCCTTTACTTAGAACTAATTCGTTCATTATTGTATTTTACAAAATTATCGGTCAATATGTGTTCTACTAGGATCATAAATACTTCACCTTTCATTTGATATCTTAATTACTGAAATATATTCTACATAATTTGATATTTACACCTATGCGTAGGAACAATTTTGTTTTAAATATGTACTACTTTCCAGTATGTTCTTTTTTGACCGGGCCCGATTTGGTGGTGTTACATCTAACAAAGTCTATCCGAATCATTTTGCAAAGAATTCCACTCAAACCGGTGCTAAGGGCCGTCTTAAACTTGTAGTCAGTTGAGAGTTTTTCTGGTTCCGTGTTGAAGGCCTCACTGTGACTTTGAGATGAAGAACAGCAATAAACGCTGTGCTTTGCTTTTTGTGTGTTCTTTGCTGTGCATGTACTTTTCGTCAAGATAGAATACACCACATCATTTGTTTTTCTGTTATATATTCATGGAATAATATAATGTTGTTCCATGTATCATTAATATTACATCATGTAATTGGTATTAATTAATATGAATGTAGTTTACCGATGTTTAAATCTCGTCAATTGAATAAGAGGTAACAAACATAAACTTAGAGAATCACACGAACTCCACAAGGAGATTTTTATAACGTTTGTTGTTTAAAACTTGAGAAAAAAATAAACAACTCTCTTGTGTTAACCGTGTTGTCAACGTTTTTATTTCATATTTCACTACGTTTACATTTATTTTCTCTCCGTTGAAATTGGTTGCATTGCTTTAACTAGTAAAATCGGTACCTGACTAAAGAAAAAAATATAAAGTTTGAATGTTTTATAACCTTAGATAATGTCCAATTCAAATGAGATCAATTCATATTAAAGTAAGACTTCGTACTATGAATCGATTATATGTCTCTGAAAAGATATACATCGACCATTTATAAATAAAAGTTTGATAAGTTATACTGATTTAAGTCATTTTAAGAACAATTGCAAACAACGAAAATGAAACGATAAGAGCAACAGAACCGCCCACATAAAAAACAGAAATACCTTCACATGATGATCCAGAGTAACCACTTCTACATGTACACTGACAGGTTGTTCCTAATACAGTTTTTGTTCCCCCATTATCACAAGGAAAGCCGTCACACGGATCAACTGTAAAATTATTTCAGATATCAAAGAATGCACAATTCCATGTGAAATAATATTCCCATCGTTATATGAACTGTTTTAATGTTTTAATTCTAAAAATAAACTTAGATACAAGATTCCATACAAAACAATGTAGTCGAGGTGATCGTTTTTCCCCCCTTTCTTCTTTGAAAGGGTCTTTTCACACGGGATGCAGATTTGGTGAAATATAAGATCAGGACGAAGAAAAACGTTGAAATTGTAAATTGATGCTTATGTGTTTTGTATCATTGATAAAAAGCGAAGATTTGAAGGCTATGTGTCGACAAAAATTTCAGATACGACAGGTGTTCAGTTGTATTGTTATCATGTGTATTAGCACATTGAAAAGCCATCTTTACTTGTCTGTGTAATACAAAACTAAATAATTTATTATTTTGTTTCATCTTCAACAAAATAACTCCTTGCATAAAACTTCCGGTTTTTGAATTTACTCTGACCAGAACGTTATCTACATAGAAATTGCAATAATCGTTTAAAATTTTTTTCATCAATGGTCTAAATCAAAACAAACCTTGACAAATATTGTGTTTTATTATTGATTTAGTAAACAAAGTGATAGAATGATCTTTAATTTTTACCTTCACATAATTTGCCAGAATATCCAATTGAACAAACACATAAATAGCTGCCATTTACATTTAAGCATGATCCAGAATTTACACAAGGACTACTGCTGCATGGTGTCACTAGAGCAAAATTGAAAAATTAGTCATTTAAATTTTAAAATAGTAATATTTTATATTTTTATATACATTTACTTTATCTATCAGAGGTATGCATCCGGCAAATACAACATTATTTATAATCATTAGTCCATTGCATAGGAAAGTATGGGAAAATTCATAATGTATCGTTGTGATAATGAGACTGTGTTCAAATTGAAAATGTAACCTGCATGCATACAGTAAAATTATTATACATTCTTTGAATTGAATTTTTATACTCTATTTCTTCTTCTACACTACGTAGAATATTAATCCGACGTATACTTCGTTTAAATATAGGACTACCCGCAATAAGTAAATGCAAATGTGACTAAACATTGGTTTTACAGACGAATTGTCGTCAATTTTTTCCTTTACCAGAATACAAATTTCACCTCTAGTTTATTACATCGCTTCTGAAGAAAGTCTTCAACAGTAACGTAGATGAATTCATAAGGAAATGCCTGTACAAAGTCAGGAATATGGCAGTTGTTTTCCATTCGTTTGATGTGTTTGAGCTTTTGATTTTGCCATTTGATATGGGACTAATTTTCCTTAGAGGTCGGTTTTTTTGTAATTTACTTATTCCAGTCATGAGTTTCATTTTCATATATATTTCGTTAAACTTACCTTCACATGAGTGGCCCGAAAATCCCTTTAAGCAATTACAGCTATAGTTACTTCCTGATATAGCACAACTACCATCATATAAACAAGGTTGGCTAGTGCAAGGTGTTACTGCAAACAACTTTAAAAATAAATGTCAGCCTCCATTTTTGCTTAAATAATTCCTTTCGCAAGAACTTTTTAAAGTATTGTTTATATGATTTCAAGAATCAAATTTTGTTCAATATATCATTTATATTTCATTTTATACATTGTTGTATATCGTTCTGCTACTTGATACTAAAGAAAAGAAACAATAACCCTCTGCTATAAATGAAGGGAAAAGTAATATGCTTTTCAACGTTTTAATTTATTTGTTATTTTAATGTTTCTTTAATTCGTGGGGACTCCGGTGAGTTTTTTTCTAACATATAATAGAAAACAAAGGATAAGGGGTGTACATCCATGACACAAAATAAGTACATGCACAGCAAAAAGGAAACACACAAAAAGCAAAGAAACAGCGCTTTAATTGCTGTTCTGCATTACTTCACGGGAAAACTACTTTAACAAATATACCGTTTTATTGGCATACTACCTTATGTCAGAATTGCTCAATAATGATCTCCATTGACTGTTTAATGTTCTAATATGAAAGTGAATCTGATAACTATAAAACGATTTTCTGGATGCTGAGTTGAATACATAAATCGCCGAACGTTGTAGATACTGGTAAGAGGTATTTGTTTAACAATAATATATCACGAAAATAAAATGGTAGCATCAAAATCGTCCACACAATGAAAAACATACATTCACATGTTGATCCAGAGAAGCCACTTCTACATGTACACTGACAGGCTGTTCTTGACACTGTTTTTGTTCCTCCATTTTCACAGGGGAAACCTTCACATGGATCAACTGTGAAATTTATTTAAATATACAACAGGGTGCGTACCTCAGGTGAAATAATATTCTTTTTACTATATTTTTTATTGTAACTTTAAATTTTAGACCCGATCAAAGGTAGAGTTTGAAATTATAAATTGCTGCTTTTGTAATACGAAACGGTTTAGTTTGTGTCAACGTTCTGGTGTGATTTGCTTCCATTCCGTCGATGCTTTCTTGTAGACTTGTACCTGATCAAAGTAAGTTTCTTATTTTAATAGAATAACAAAAAATCCTTTAATATAATTGTTTTGAATAGGATTTTCTGTATAAGTCCTGGAATGGATACTTGATCAATTGTGTTGACCGTCGACTCTTCAAATCTCGAGGCCATTACAGTTAACCTTGAATTTACATAGACAAATTAAAAACAGCAAGTTAATAACTCTTACTTTAGTATTGTCACCATGTGAACTGGTACATTTAAAAACTAATTAAGCGTATTTGTCTTATACAAAACTATATATGTTTGATGATATTTGAATTGTACCTTCCTTGGAATATATTCAAATGCCGTTTAATTACATATTGATCTGACAGAAAATAACAAAGTTCAATTTATAGCCGACTATACGGTATAGATTTTTTTCATTGTTGAAGGTCGTATATTTGTCTATAGTTACTTACATCCACTTCATTAGAACGTTGGTGGATAGTTGTCTCATTGGCAATCATACCACATCTCTTTATTATTACATTCAAGAACATCCGTGCTAATGCTACACTTTTAACTGTGATCAGAACTTTATTGACAGAGAAATGCGATTATCTTATATGATTTATATCAAAACAATATTTTTAACAAAATTTGGGAAGATATTTTCTCCTATGCTAATTCTAATGTATAAAGTGACAATAATTATCAGTAATTTGTACCTTCACATAATTTGCCAGAGTATCCTTTAGGACAAACACATAGGTAGCTGCCATTAACATTTAAGCATGATCCAGAATTTACACACGGACTAATGCTACATGGTGTCACTGAAGCAAGATGAAAAAACAGTCTAAATGTAGTAGTTTTCACATATAGATTTATTCTATTTATAATAACTATTTTACAGCAAAGTAAAACATAACTTATTATGATTTGTTCGTAGGTTTGGGTATCATAGTGAGTGCATTACGTTTCATACCTACCAGAATCACGTATTCCGCACCTGTAATGGGCGATTTTATATTTTGTTTTTAATATGAACTGTCTTTTCTTTTCGGTTCTGAAAATATCGTAAACATTTATATTGATGAAACCGTGTTCTCAAATAATGCCATTTCTTCTTCGGATATAGTACGATTATCTTACCTTCACATAGTTTACCAGAATATCCCTGTGAACAATTGCAACTAAAGCGGTGTCCTGAGATAGAACAACTTCCATCGTGAAAACAAGGCTGGTTACTACAAGGTGTAACTGCAGATAAAATAAAAAGATCAAACCAAGCTCTCCTGTTACTTAAATAATTCTTAGAGTATCATTTTATTCAGATTGATACATCCATATGAGACCAGTTTGTGTACTGAAATTGTAATAAGATGCATACCACCTATGATAGGCCCTCATTTCTAACCACGTTAATTTTTTCAATTTAAAACATTTTATGGGGGCGGGATCAATATACCGTTATTTAGACATCAGACCGTACAATTTACCAGAAGTTTTGATACACCAAACCAGGTACTTCATATCTAAGAAATTGTCAGTCAATATGTGTTCTACAAGGATCATAAGTACTTCACCTTTCTTTTGATATTTTAATTACTAAAATATACTCTACATAATTTGATATTTACACCTATGCGTAGGTTCAATTTTGTACTACTAAAATATGTACTACTTTCCAGTATGTTCTTTTTGACCGGGCCCGATTTGATGGTGTTACATCTTACACAGTCTATCCGAATCATTTTGCTAAGAATTCCACTCAAACCGGTGCTAGAGGGCCGTCTTAAACTTGCAGTAACTTGTGAGAATTTTCCGTTTCCGTGTTAAAGACCTCACTATGACTTTGAGATGAAGAACAGCAAAAAAGCAAAGTTTCTTTGCTTTTTGTGCCTTTTTTTGCTGTGCATTTACTATGCTTTGTTATGAATGAATACCCCACATCCTTTGTTTTTTTTTATTATTATTCATTGAATAAAATGTTGTTCTATGTATCATTAAGATTACATCATGTAAATTGGAATTAAATCAATACGAATGTAATTTGCCAATATTTAAATCTCGTCAATCGAATAAGAGTAAAAATACATAAACTTAGAGAATCGCAAGAACTCCACAAGGAGATTTTTATAACGTTTTTTGTTTAAAACTTGAGAAAAAGATGAGCAACTCTCTTGTGTTTACCTTGTCATCAACGTTTTTATTACATATTTTCAGTACATTTACATTTATTTTCTCTCCGTTTGAATTGGTTGCATTGCTTTAACTAGTAAAATTGGTATCGGACTAAAGAAAAAAAAACAAAACAGTTTTATTGTTTTATTACCTTAGATAATGTCCAATTTAAATAAGATCAATTTACATTTCGATTAACTCGTTAATTTAATAACGTTAAAGTAAGACTAAGTACTATGAATCGATTGTATGTCCCTGAAAATATGTACATTGACCATTTATAAATAAAAGTTTGATAAGTTATACTGATTTAAGTCATTTTAAGAACAATTGCAAACAACGAAAATGAAACGATAAGAGTAACAGAACCGCCCACATAAAAAACAGAAATACCTTCACATGATGATCCAGAGTAACCACTTCTACATGTACACTGACAGGTTGTTCCTAATACAGTTTTTGTTCCTCCATTATCACAAGGAAAGCCGTCACACGGATCAACTGTAAAATTATTTCAGATATCAAAGAGTACACAATTCCCTTTGAAATAATACTCCCATCGGTATATGAACTGTTTTAATGTTTTAATTCTAAAAATAAACTTAGATACAAGACTCCACACAAAAAATGTAGTCGCGGAGATCGTTTTTTCCCCTCTCTTTTTGAAAGGGTCTTTTCCACACGGAGTGCAAATTTGGTGAAATATAAGATCAGGACAATTTGTGAAATTGTAAATTGATGCTTATGTGTTTTGTATCATTGATAAAAAGCAAAGATTTGAAGGCTATGTGTCGACAAAAATTTCAGATACGACAGGTGTTCAGTTGTTTTGTTATAATGTGTATTAGCACATTGAAAAGCCATCTTCACTTGTCTGTGTAATACAAAACTAAATAATTTATTATTTTGTTTCATCTTCAACAAAATATCTCCTTGCATAAAACTTCCGGTTTTTGAATTTACTCTGACCAAAAACGTTATCTACATAGAAATTGCAATAATCTATTAAAAATTGTTTCATCAATATGATTTAAATCAAATCAAACCTTGACAAATATTGTGTTTTATTATTGATTTAGTAGACAAAGTGATAGAATGATCTTTAATTTTTACCTTCACATAATTTGCCAGAATATCCAATTGAACAAACACATAAATAGCTGCCATTAACATTTAAGCATGATCCAGAATTTACACAAGGACTACTGCTGCATGGTGTCACTAGAGCAAAATTGAAAAATTAGTCATTTAAATTTTAAAATAGTAAATTTTATATTTTTATATACATTTACTTTATCTATCAGAGGTATGCATCTGGCAAATACAACATTATTTATAATCATTAGTCCATTGCATAGGAAAGTATGGGAAAATTCATAATGTATCGTTGTGATAATGAGACTGTGTTCAAATTGAAAATGTAACCTGCATGCATACAGTTAAATTATTGTACATTCTTTGAATTGAATTTTTATACTTTATTTCTTCTTCTACACTACGTAAAATATTAATCCGACGTATACTTCGTTTAAATATAGGACTACCGGCAATAAGTAAATGCAAATGTGACTAAACATTAGTTTTACAGTAGAACTGTCGTCAATTTATCCTTTACCAGAATACAAATTTCATCTCTAGTTTATTATATCGCTTCTGAAGAAAGTCTAAAACAGTTACATAGATGAAATCACAAGGAAATGCCTGTACAAAGTCAGGAATATGACAGTTGTTTTCCATTCGTTTGATGTGTTTGAGCTTTTGATTTTGCCATTTGATAATAGACTTTCCGTTACAATTTTACATGGAGTTCGGTATTTTTGTTATTTTACTTTTTCCAGTTATGAGATCATTTTCATATATATTTCGTTAAACTTACCTTCACATGTGTTGCCCGAAAATCCCTTTGAACAATTACATCTAAAGCTGTTTCCTGATATAACACAACTACCATCATATAAACAAGGTTGGCTGGTGCAAGGTGTTGCTGCAAACAACTTTAAAAATAAATGTCAGTCTCCCTTGTTGCTAAAATAAGGGGACCTTTTTAAAATATTGTTTATATGATTTCTAGAATCAAATTTTGATCAATATATCAGTTATATTTCATCGAATACATCGGTGTATATCGTTCTGCTACTTGATACATTTTGTACTAAGATAAAAGCAATAACACTCTGGTATGAATAAAGGCGAAAGTAGTATGCTTTTCAATGTCTCATCTAATTTGGTCTTTTAATGTTTCTTTAATTCGTGGGTCACCGAAGAGTCTTTTGTAGATGAAACGCGCGGCTGATCCCCAATGTACGAATCGCGTAAATCGACTGATATTAACCTATTTTGAAAAAAAAACCGTATCCAGTTTTTTTTAACATATGCATTTATTTTCATTTCGGACAAATTTGTTGAATTGCTTCACGGGAAAATAACTAAACAAATATACCGTTTTAATGGCATACTACATTATGTCCAATTTGCTCAATAATGATCCCCAATGACTGTTTAATGTTCGAATATGAAAGGAACTCTTATAACTATAAAATCATTTTCTGTATGCTGAGGTGAATACATAAATCGCCGATCGTTGTAGATAACGTTTGATATTTTAGTACTGGTAAGAGGCATTTTTTGTAACAATAAAATATCACGAAAATAAAATGGTAGCATCATAAACATCCACACAAGGAAACAAACATACTTTCACATGATGATCCAGAGAATCCACTTCTACATGTACACTGACAGGCTATTCTTGACACTGTTTTTGTTCCTCCATTTCCACAGGGAAACCCGTCACAAGGATCAACTGTGAAATTTATTTAGATATAGAACAGGATGCTCAACCTCATCTGAAATACTATTCTTATCACTATATTTTTTTTTGTAACTTTACCTTTTAGACCAGATCAAAGGTAGAGTTTGAATTATAAATTGCTGCTTTTGTAATACGAAAAGGTTAAATTTGTGTCAACTTTCTGTTGCGATTTGCTAAACTTTCGTCGATGCTTTCTTATAGACTTGTACCTGATTAAAGTAAGTTTTTTATTTTAATAGAACAACAAAATATCATTTAAAAGAATTGTTATGAACTGGTTTTTTCTGTATAAGTCCTGGAATGGATACTCGATCAATTGTGTTGACCCTCGACTCTTCAAGTCTCGGGGCCATTACAGTTAACCTTGACTTTACAAGGGCAAATTAAAAACAGCAAGTTGATACCACTAACTTTATTATTGTCACCATGTGAACTGGTACATTTAAAAACTTACAAAGCATATTTGTCATATACATAACCATAGATATTTGATGAAATTTAATTGTATCTTCCTGAATAAAAAAAAACCAACCTTGCAATATATATACAAATGCCGTTTAATTACATGTTGATCTGACAGAAATTAACACACTTCAATATATAGCCGACTATACGGTATGGGATTTCTCATTATTGAAGACCTTACGGTTGCCTATACTTGCTTACATCCACTTCATTTGACATTTGGTGGATAGTTGTCTCATTGGCGATCATACCACACTTCTTTATGTTTTAATTTAAGAACATCCATGTTCATGCTTCATTTTTAGATGTGAAATATATTGACAAAGAAAGCGTAATTATTTAAGGTAATATGATTTATATCAAACAAAATTTGGAAAGATAGTGTCTCCTATGTCAATGCTACTGTATAAAGGGACAATAATGATCAGTAATGTGTACCTTCACATAATTTGCCAGAGTATCCTTTAGGACAAATGCATACATAGCTGCCATTGACATATAAGCATGATCCAGAATTCACACAAGGGCTACTGCTACATGGTGTTACTGAAGCAAGATGGACAAACAATACAAGTGTAGTATGTAGTAGTTTTCATATCTTAATATAGATTTATTTTATTTCACAATAACAATTTTACAACAAAGTAGAACATAACTTATTATGATGTATTCGTAGGTTTGGGTATCATAATGAATATTCATTATTAAATGACTTGATATTGATACTGTCTTTCTATTGGCAATAGAACCCGCTCAGGAAAAATAGACCATACATTCTCTGAAATATTTTTGCATTATTAAAATTGCTTTCAAACAGCTATCTAAATTCATCAGATTCTCCATTTAGGTGTCATACTTACCGGAATAACGTATGATGAACCTGCAATTGGCGGTTTTATATATTCATTTTAATATGAACTGTCTTTTTTTTTCTTCACAAAAAAATCACTATTAGCTAACAAAATCACTTCTAAAAATGTCGCGTAAAAATTTTTATAGACGGAACCGTGATCTCAAATAATGCAATTTCTTCTTCAGATATATTATGATTAAATTACCTTCACATAGTTTACCCTAATATCCCTTTAAACAATTGCAACTGAAGCTGTGTCCTGAGATAGAACAACTACCATCGTGAAAACAAGGCTGGTTACTACAAGGGGTAACTGCAGATAACATAAAAAAAATCAAATCAACCTCTCCATTTACTAAAATAATTCTTTGAATTTCATTTTTTTCAGATCAATATAATTCATAGAATGATATTTTGCTTTATGTATCATAAATATTACACCATGTGAATTGGAATTAAGTTAATACGAATGTAGTTTACAGATGTTAAGATCCCGTCAATCCAATAAGAGGGAACATGCATAAACAGAGGGAATCGCAAGAACTCGAAAAGGCGTTTTTGATATCGTTTTTTTTGTTTGAAACCCTCTTGTGTAAACCATGTTATCAACCTTTTTATTTCATATTTTCACTACATCTGTATTTATTTTCTCTCCGTTGGAATTGGTTGCATTGCTAGAACTAGTAACACTGGTATCTGACTTTAAAAAAAATATACAGTTTTAATGTTTATTACCTAAGACAATCAAATTATATCAATTTGCTAATATCAATGTAAGACTAATTACTATGAACGGATTGTATGTCCCTGTAATTGTACTTTATACATATACATCGTCAATTTATACTGAACTGTTTGATTTGTTATACTGACTGAAGGCATCTGTAATCAATTGTATTTAACAAAATGAAATAGTAGCAACTATGAGCAACAGAAACATACACATGAAAGAACAGAAATACCTTCACATGATGATCCAGAGAAGCCACTTCTACATGTACACTGACATGTTGCTCCCGATACAGTTTTTGTTCCTTCATTATCACAAGGAAACCCATCACAAGGATCAACTGTGAAATTGATTTAAAATTTGTAAACTGGTACTAAGGTACAGATATATCGAGGTTCTCGGGATTTATAAAAATAAGAGGACAAATAAATTTAGCACACCCAACATGTTTATATATTAGTTTGCAGCAATATAAATTCTTTCGCGTGGTCTTTTTGTGGCAATCACCTGCTCCAACAATTTATTACATGTAGTTCCATTTAATCTTAAACCGTAACATGATTTCAGATAAACAGGTTTTACATGTACGACGTACACGATTAATTTGACGTGCCGATAATAGGAACTCTTTTTTTCTTTATAATATCTGCTATAATAACATCTTCAAAGCAGGAAAAAGCTTCGTAAATTTTTATGGACGCCATAACGAGTTGGTCGACCGTTATGAAATATCCGTTTCACTGATGATAACGGATATGTTCCAAATGTCGTAAATACAATCCCGTCCCTTTTACCCCGAATGTGAACTACCGATTTAGACTTATTACCGGGTTTGTACTAACATGAGCAACGACGGGTGCAACATGTGGAGCAGGATCTGTTTACTATTCCGGAGCACCTAAGATCACCCCCATTTTTTGGTGGGGTTCGTGTTGCTCAGTTTTTATTTCTCGATGTTGTGTTTTGTGTACTCTTGTTTGTCTGTTTGTCCTTCTCTTTTTTGGCCATGGCGTTGTCAGTATATTTTCGAATTATGAGTTTGAATGTCCCTTTGGCATCTTTCGCCTCTCTTTTAAGACATGTATAGTGGTTTATAGAAAAAAGAAGATATGGTATAAGTGCCAATGAGACAACTCTCCATCCATGTCACAATGTGTAAAAAAGTAAACCATTATATATAAAACCAACGGTCTAATCTATAAAACGAGAAATGAGAAACACTTAAGAATCACATCAACAAACGACAACCACTGAAACAAGTTTCTGACTTAGGACAAGCGCAAACAAATGCAGCGGGTTTTAACGTTTCAACAGGCGCCAACCTTCACCCTTACCTGAAATAGTAGTATAACATTACAGCATAGAAATTGCTATTTTTGTGATAAATTTTCATATCACGCTAATCGCCTGGGATAGAAAATTATCGTCAGAAACTAAGGGCGCACGTGACGTTGTCAATGTAAACATCAACGAGTCATAGGCAAAACAGCGATAAACAGATTATCAATGATCTTTCAAACTCGAAGATATTTGTCGGCCACATCTCATCTCAGGTCTGTCACCCTTCGACGAGATTGAAGATGAGAAACACCATCCTGTTTGAAAAACCATCGATATTCTACAAGTCTTAAATTTCAAGATACATCTTAGAATTGATCCCAATTTTAGAGACATTCAAAGACATTGCTACAGGCTATATTAAGTTCAAAGACCATCTTATGACATAAACCTTCGAAAACCAGGGCCCACATTTCAGAAATAAATATCTTATAGATGAGGTCATTGGTGATGCCTCGAAATGATGACTTCGTAAATTAAATACTAGTTCAGATATCAGAATGTGTTTGGAATTGTAAATTACTGCTTCTGTGCTTTGAACTTTTGAACTTTAAGGATAACAAGCAACCAGTGGTAGGCTAGAAGTCAAACATACTACCTTCACATGTTTTTCCAGTATATCCTATTGAACAAACACATACGTAGCTGCTATTATCATTATAACATGATCCTGAATTTAGACAAGGACTACTGCTGCATGGTGTCACTGGAACGAAGTAAGATAATAAAACATTACATGATTGAGGTTACTATGTTTACATTTAATATAAATTATTATGTCATTCATTGGAACAACTGATGCAGCTTTGTTGCCAATTACGAATCATTTAGGAGTTAGCACAAAGACCGATTGACTCGAATCGAAAATTCTATGCTTGTGCTGTGTAACATGAGTTTCGACAAATTCTGTTTAAACCACACACAAAATGTTTGTTCACCTGATGTTTGGTACAAAATAGAGTACTAGTACATTGTATACCTTTAAGATGTCATTGCCGTGTAATCGTCATGCAAATATTTGCAGAGGAACTTAAAGCATTTGTCCATATTTAAATAGAAAGCATACGTATGAAGCATCTTATATTTCGTAGAGTTGTATGCTTACCATTCTTTATAAGCATCATGTAATGAAGGTATTGAACTGAAATTTTATCTCATCTATGTATCAAACTAACCTGGATAAATTTGATTGTGTATGTTATAGGGGTGTTACACTTTGTACATAACAATGTTACGTGTTCAGTGGTTGTCGTTGATTCATGCCTGTCATATTTTGTTTCGTAAATTGATTTGTTATAAATTAGGCCGTTAGTTTTCTCAATTGAATTGTTTTATATTTTTCATGTCGGGGCCTTTTAAAGCCTACTATACGGTATGGGTTTTTCCCATTGTTGAAGGCCGTACGGTTGCCTATAATTATTTACATCCACTTCATTTGAACTTGGGTAGAAAGTTGTATCATTGATAATCATACCACATCTCCTTATTTTTATATTACCCCTTTTTTAGAAATAAAATCAACAAATCATAAGCTTTCTGAAATCTTCTGCGTTAGAAGATACTGTGGAATTAATTTCATTATTTTAGTGGTTACTTGAAACATTAAAAGTTTTTGGAGTTTCCAGGTTTTACAGTAAATGCATTCAGACTCATGTAAAACATGTTTTTTTGTAGGTTTTAAATTTCAAAATTGGAAAGCAGTCCTAAATTAACTAAATGAATAATAATAGCTGCACGATCGATGAAACTATATGAAAAAAGAAGATGTGGTATGATTGACAATGAGATCCCTCGAGACAAATGCCAATAAGACAACTCTCCACCAGAGACCAAATGACATAAACGTTATAAACTATGGGTAACTGTACGGCCTACAACATTCAGCAAATCTCATACCGCATTGCAAGCTATGAAATCCCTCAATAGTGATAAATGTATAAACAATTCAAACAAGAAACCTGAGCGGCCTGATTTATATACAAAACAAAACACAAAACAAATGTGATATTTTAACCCTGGAAGGTGGAGTAATAGAACAACACAAGAACTGACTGTACAACACAATTAACGAAAAACTAACAAAATAGCAACAAACGAAAACCACTTAATTACAGGATTCTCACTTTGGACACGCACACATAGAATGTGGCTGGTTAAACATATTTCGGGTCGTTAAAATCTCCCGCTAACTTGGGACAGTGGCGTAACTGCACAGCATTAAAACAAACTATAACAAAATAAACTATGTCTTCTCATTTGAAATATTTTGATGAACTTACCTTCACATGATTTGCCAGAATATCCTGTTAGACATTCACAAGTGTAGCTTTTTCCAGATATAGAACAGTTACCATCATGAAAACAAGGCTGACTGCTGCAAGGGGTTACTGAAAACGAATAGGACAAGACTCAAATCTTATTTACTATTCCCTTGTTGCTTGGATATCAATGTAAAATGGAATGTTCGTGCCAAGTTGATATGGTTTCAGTATTATTATCAATATAATCAAACATGTCGTAATCATTTTTTTTAACTGTCTGTTGGAATGTATATATCATTTGACTTAGAACTGTATAAAAGGATAAAACTTTCTGCACTTAACGATAAACATGTGCATTTCATCTGGTTTTCTTTATCAAGAATAAATTTCGTTTCTGTAGAAAACGTTTGTTTTTCTTTTAAGAATCTAGTTTTCAGTAACACAAATTCTATGCTTAATTAGCCTGGGCTTGAATCGAATTAATATAGACAATTATTCCAAAGTTCCTTAAACCTGTTAAAACTTTTTAAATGTACGTTTTAAACTTATGAAACGAATGTCTTATTGTTTATGTTCAATTTACTTTGATTATATTACATACATCGTCGAACGTAAGAAATTTAGGTTGACATAATCTTAGCGGTTTGATAACTTTTTTTTAATAGTTATGTACCACAATAACAAAATAAAAACAAGCAAACGGTTGCTAAAATTATCAACAATTAGAAATAACACACAACACAGCATGCTCCCACAGATAACCCAAATTACAAATAGTAATACCTTCACATGATGATCCAGAGAAGCCACTTCTACATGAACACTGACACGTTCGTTCAAATACAGATTTTGTTCCTCCATTATAACAAGAAAAACCATCACATGGATCAACTGTGAAATTGATTTAAATTTGAAGTTACTGTGACGAGGATGATGATGAGGATTGGATGATTGCTTGACCAATTAAATGCATATTCAGTAGGTAAACATGTTTAAGTTATATTAATATAAAGCATTCGTTGTACTGGTCATACATTTACAAGCGGACATGACGTTAACATATCTCAGGTACTAAATTACCGTCTTGCATGTGCATGGAATTATTAAGCAAGGATATGCTCCTTATACAAAAATTGGTATAACAAAATTATGAAGAAGAACTACTGAAATTTAAACAACATAATATTTATGGTCACCATCACGAATATGTTTACCCAAACAATGTATCGGTGTCTCAATGCAATAGCGACATGATTTCGGGGTCTTATTATTTAGATACCAGTACAGTCGTCTGATCTATAATCTTATCGATCGTGTCTTATCCGTCCCTGATTGTGACGTCGGTAAGCTACAGGTGCATTTACTTAAGTTAACGTTCTATTTTAGAAAGAGACAATCGACAGAAAGGTTTGTCATTGTACAAGGACAGATTATTCGTCTTCCGAGGTGATTTGCTCTTACGCCTTAATAATCCATTCATAGTAGAGACGTAGCTATAGCTAGTGCAAATTTTGATGTTTTTTGTCTGAGCAGGTTGATCTAAATTAAACGTCACGAATGTCCTTGGATGATATAAAGTAGTTCTAATCTGATCTGTCGTTGATTTTACAAAACAAATAAATAATCAATGTGATTGATTTATAAAACAAAATGAAGACTAACCTACACGAACCTCAACACAAATCGGGGGTGATCTCTGGTACACCGGTAGTGTTTGCAGATCCTGTTAAACATGTGACACTTGTTGTGTTCTCCTATATAATACTTTTATAAATAATATTAAGTGATTGATGAGGCATCACAGAAAAGCGGACTGGTACTTATTTAAAAATAAGAAATCATCAAGTTTGTGAAGCATCATGGAACAGCTGACGGACTGGTAATTATTTAACATAAGACACAACCAGATTCGGAAGACATCGTTGGTGTAAATTTTCTAACCCTGAAATTTAACCGAATTTGAAATTTTAAAAGTAATAGTGTCATGTGTTATTTGTACTTTCCGCTACATAAACACTATTCTGAAAATGATACCTTCACACAGTTTGCCAGAATATCCTATTGGACACTCACAAATGTAGCTTCCACCAACATTTAAACATGATCCAGAATTAACACAAGGACTACTACTGCATGGTGTAACTGAAATAAAGTTGAAACAATAAATATTTTAATTTAAAAGATAACCGCTTTTATGGAGCAGTGGATTCGCATGGCCGGTGATGCATGATAAGACGTTGCACCCATCTGGTAACGGTCTGTTTGGAGTTTCTGTGATTCCAATTAGTTTTTGTTTGTTGTCTTGATTTTTCATCTTAATCTATTAAACAGATTTGGTACTAAATACATAGTAAAATATTTAATTTTTGTTAACCTCAAATGTATAACTAATTATTTCTTGTCATTGTATTCATTGTTAATTTGTTCTCATTTAAACATAAATGAAATATTTGCCATTGGACGTTAAGCAACCAACAATAATCAATCATTGTGTAAATTGATATTGAACATCCTTATAAAATCGTTGATTACTCATTGATTACTTTACACCGTCCATTTTTGTCCTACGTATAATATTTATTAATCATCAGTAAAAAGATGCAATAATGTCTTCTGACCAATATTTTTTATCGCAGCGCGGGTACATTATCACGTTGTGATTTGTTTAACGCCGTAACGTGGTGACCCCCTATGGATCCGTAGGGGGTTAGTACATTTCATAGGGGGTTCATGACGTCACGTCTACTGTTAATGGTGACGTCATCTATTCATGTTGTTGTGTTTCATTGTTTATTTTTCTACATAACGCCACAGAAAAAGTTCCTCGTGCGATAAATTCGTTATTCGGTTCACTACTGACCCCCTACGGACCATAGAGGGTGAATACAATCCATAGGAGATTCGGCGTACGGCCTCAACCCCTATTGATTTTACTAACCCTCTATTGGTCTGTAGGATGTCAGCAGCAAACCATATAACTTATAATATTTTAGTTCATGTATTCTGGTAATAATACATTCACAAAATGTTCCGTAGGGGGTTAGTAAATTTCATAGGGGGTTCATGACGTCACGTCTACTGTAAATGGTGACGTCATCTATTCATGTTGTTGTGTTTCATTGTTTATTTTTCTACAAAACGTCACAGAAAAAGTCCCGCGTGCGATAAATTCGTTATTCGGTTCACTACTGACCCCCTACGGACCATAGAGGGTGAATAAAATCCATAGGAGATTCGGCCTCCGGCCTCACCCCCTATGGATTTTACTAACCCTCTATGGGTCTGGAGGGTGTCAGCAGCAAACCATATAACTTTAGCGCTGCATTGAAGACCTGTTGGTGGCCTTCTGCTGTTGTCTGTTCTGTGGTCGGGTTGTTGTCTCTTTGACACATTCCCCATTTACATTCTCAATTTTAACTTATAATATTTTAGTTCATATATTCTGGTAATAATACATTCACAAAATTTTCCAGATTATCCACAAATAATATGTTATAGTCACCGTCTTAATTTATCTCAACTGTTATTTCTTAGCATGCAGTTGGTTGTAGATACCTTCACACAGTTTGCCAGAGTATCCATCTAAACAATTACAATTGAAGCTGTTTTCTGATGTTGAACAATTACCACCATGAAGACAAGGTTGACTGGTACAAGGTGTTACTGAAAACAAATTTACATAAAACAAAATCAGATATTTCTGCAACGTTTTTTGTTCAGTCAATAGATAAATACCAAGATATTGTTCCGTTTTTTTCTTATGTGTTTTGGTCTCTTCTGGAAAAAAAAACCATATGTTTACCTTTCTTAAATTCTCCTTCGATAAAATTATGATTTTATTTAAGAAACTAAGGTTCCAACTCCCTCATCTACAGTTATCGTAAATGTAATTGGCTACTTTTATGTCCCTTTTGGTCATTTAGTACTTAAAGTATTCCTATACTATTGGCTGCTGCATTTTTAGGGTTAAGCTTTATTGCTGAAGGTGAACAAAAAAAAGCGCTTTGGACAATTTGAAACCAAATTCATATATTTTATAAAAAAAATATAATTAGGATTTCCAACCCAAGGAATGGATTACCTTCGCTATATTTGACAAAACCTTTTACAATGCTGAGGCCTTAATGCTCTACAACTTCGTACTGTATTTGTCTGTTTTAACTCTTTTGATTCGAACACCACTGATGAGTCTTTTTTACACGAAACGCACGTCTGGCGTAAAACAGTTTAATCCTTGCATCTATGATGAGCTTATTATCAAGTTATAATTTGATTTGTCAATTTTTGTAACGCAACAGCGTGTCTCGGTTGTATCAATTCACTAATGGCTGTAAGCTAGAAATTTCTACAAAAGTAGTGATGTACTATTTTTTTGTGATGTTTTAGAATTGTGCAATCATTTGATATTTTTTATTTTTTCATATAAATTTAAGTGCTATGAAATTCAAAATCACTTCTATCATGTGGTTATGCAAAAACATTCACACTTGATGATAATGAAATAAATATAACTTTTCTTCTATCTGGACACGTAAGCTAGTATATTCGTTGATTAATTATTCAATAGATACATTAACCTAAATACTCAAAGATAAATTAGATTTTACTTTTATATTTTTTTAAACTCTTAGTCAAATGCACTTACTTTTATTTGTTTAGTAAATCAAATCATATGTGTTTTTACAAATGTTTAGTTTTAAAATAAAACAAGTAAAGAGAGCTCCAGATAATAAATAAATTAATATTCTGTAGATCACATATGCATACAAATGAAGAAAATAACTTCTATTGCAATCTAGAATTCATATGAATACCGTTAACTATTTTCTACACAATTTACCTTCGCACAATTTACCAGAAAACCCGTCTGGACAACTGCAATTAATTGTGTCCCCCGTTACAAAACAATGGCCATCATTAAAACAAGGTTTCCTGCTACAAGGTGTTACTGCATTTGCAAAATATAAGAATGAGATTTTAAATATCTGAAAGATGAACAAAAATTGTATACAATTATTCAATTATGTTTATGATGGCAAATTCTCTCTTAATGTATTGATTCGATAGAAAACAAATGCGTAGAATAGTTATTTTAGGTCACAAATATCAATTTCGAAATGTAAAAGTAATCATTAAAATATCACATACAACGTTTTTGTATTAAAGTGTCGATATTTAATCATTCTTACTATTGTCAATAACGAGTGCTTAATTTTGAAAGGCAGCAGACTTTCGCTATTTTATTATTTCAAAGGCCAAATAATTGCACTTATCAAACCACTGTCTTTTGTCTGCATATTTCCAGTTCTCTCAACTATGTTATATAAAATTAATATTGCAACTCCTTCACAGACCGTAGAACCTTCGCAGATATGTTGATGTTCTTCTACATTGTGTGCTCCATGTTGAAATTCAGCTTTCAAAAGTTAAAATATTGAGAGTACTTCTTGACGAAATCATGTCATTGTTTGTTTCTTTTGAATTTAAAAATATCAACTCAATTAAATTGCCTAATGTGTCCTAAGGACCCAATTATTTTTTTTTCAGGACTATGAGCATTAGTTTCTCTTTTGCCTATACTAACATTATATCTCACGTCATTAGAACAACACAGACAGAGCATCTTGTTCCCAAAAGATTTGAAAATATCAATTCGAAAAAATAACAAAATCATTTTACGTACAGCCTGAATGTTTACATTTGTAACATAACAAGGTATTTGTTGTTAAATTGTCAGAATTCAAAGTACGTTTAGTTTATGTAATGACTTAATCGTGTTGCCTTGGAAACCATCTGATGAAAATAATAATTGGGCATGTGCTTGAACCATCATTTCTGACTTACCAAACTCGTTATTATAATGAAAAAAGTATTGGACACACGTTTAAAATTGCTGTTGTTTTTTTTTTAGGTTTGTTGGATAGCAAGTAAAATAAATGCTAAAAAAATTTACATATTGTACCTTCACACGTTTTCCCAGAATACCCTGCAGGACAAGAACATACATAACTTCCATTTGCATTAAAGCATGGTCCGTTATGTTCACAAGGATGACTGCTACAAGGTGTGACTGTCAAAAGGTTGAAATTACACAATAAAGATTACAATGTAATAATACAAATCACAGCATTATAGGGATATTCCATATATCCTAACGGGTTGATTAAATTTCTATGCTTGAAAAAAAAAAGTATTTGAAGTTAAAAACTAAAACGGTAAAAGATAAAATTAATTTTGTTTGGTTTTTTAGCTTGTCGATATCTCCATGATCTAATCTGAAATCTTTTGCTTCCAAACTCTGATAAACATATCATTGATTTGAATTTCAATGATATAAAGGATGTTGTCTGCAACGACGGATCTGTAGATGCTTACTTTACTCTCTCTCTCAATGTGTGTTTACAGTCCAGACACTTTTAATTTTAATGTTTTCACTTTTTTGTTTGTTTTACATAGCTTTACGATATTTTAACAGATATCTGTATAGTATTTCTAATATCAGATTGAGCATTTAAATAAAAGCAAATGCCTTTATATTCATTGCATCTCAAAATTTGATTGAAGTTTCTAGGTAAATTTTTGTTTTATTTAAGTTAAAAATCAGCGTATGATAATTCTATTTGTATTTATACCTAAGGAAATCAGTACTGTAGTTGAAGAGTTGTCGCCGTCAATGTGTAGTTTGTCTGTCGCAAATGTATTTGTACTGGCGACGCGAATTGGTATCTTTTCAACTACAGCATTGTCATCCTATTCTTATCCTTTACAAATAGAAATTGTGCATTAAAGCTTGAAGAAAAGAATAAATTTATGATAAAATAAAATTCCGCGAAACGTAATGAATAAATTTAACGCATAAACATATTGTAAAAAAATGACGCCATACAAACGAAGCTTTTGAAGATTATGAAGTTACTTGTATGAATCAGACTTTGAAAAAAAATCAGTTTTGAGGACGGCTATTTTTTATTGTAGATTATATTGTATTGATCGAACATTTCAGCAATTCAAAGCTGAGGGCTCAAGACATGTAAATTGTAGATTTGACGATAATTATAGTTGCTATGTACAAACTGCAGTAGATATGTTTATCACTTGTCAATACCTTCACAGAATTTTCCTGAATATCCCATTGAACAGTTACAACTGTAGCTGCTTCCAAATATAGAGCAGCTGCCACTGTGCAAACAAGGCTGGCTGCTGCAAGGTGTTACTGGAAGTAAATTTTTATAGACATACTGTCAGTATTGCAAAAACATTGAATCAAATATTAATCAAATATGTTTCTGTCGAACTGCTATCATTCCACTTCATATTTCTTCCGTTTCTTGTAAAGACATTTTAATATGAAAACTTTTTCTCCTGGCATACTGCAGTCTTAACGCTATTCAAAATTAAATGTTTCTGACTTTTAGGCCAAACATAAGATATTGTGAAAATTAATATATAAATATATATGTCTACATATTCTATTCTTTTTTAAGTACAATGTAAATATTTCAGCTGTGCAATGATTAAATTAATGTGGTTCACTATCTTTTACTGTAATCAGTTATTTCATTGTCAATCGGTTAGATAATGTTGTTAATGATGTTATATTGAATATTATTGTGCATCTTTTCAAAATGGTTTCATACTGCGAAATGCTGTAATTAGTTCTATGTATTATCACCAATAAAAACAATTAAAGGAAAGAAAATACCTTCACATGATGATCCAGAGAAGCCACTTCTACATGTACACTGGCACGTTCTTCTGGATATAGTTTTCGTTCCTCCATTATCACATGAAAAACCATCGCATGGATCAACTGTGAACAAAAAAAAATATATATATATAGACAAGTATACAACTCATACATCATATTTGAAAAAAAGAAGAAATACCTTCACAGAACGAATCGACTTCTACATGTACACTAACATGTTGGACCGTATTTATTTTGAATTTTTCCAATATCACATTTAAAACCACCAGCTGAGATTAACATTGCCGAATAAAAGGGTCCCAACAGGATTAATGAATATAAGTAATACTCGTTGTTTTTATTTATTTCCATATAAATGACGATAATGGATTCTATGGCTACCGCAAAAGGTGTAAAGATTTGATTATTGACACTATAAACTTAGTTTTCTTTCTCATAACATTTTAATGAATATTTTTATAATGGGAACAAAGAAAATGAAGTATCAGTCAATAAATAAAGGCAACAGTAGTATACCGCTGTTCGAAATTCATCAATAAAAAACAAATCCGGGTTACAAACTAAAACTGAGGGAAACACATCAAATATATGAGGAGAACAAAGACACAACAGAACCACTAAAATGCAACACACACAGAAACGAACTATAAGATGACAATAGCCATTTTCCTGACTTTGGACAGGACATTTTAAGAACAAATGGTGAGTTGAACCTGGTTTTGTTGCTAACCAAACCTCCCGCTTTAATGGCAATGTTAAATATAACACTTAAATGACAACATTACATGTCAAGACTACAATACAAATAAATGGAAGAACATACAGGACAGAGAAACCCACAAATAAACAATATAATAGAACATTATGACAAGCTAATAGTTATCAAAGGTGCCAGGTCTAAAGATGAAGAGCATTGATGACCCAAAATTCCCAAAAGTGCCAAATACAGCTAGGCTATCTGCCTGGGATAAGAAAATATTTAGTATTTAGAATAATTAATATTTTTGCAAACAGTAAATTTCTAAAATATAAAAAATGACCATATAATTGATATACATGTTAACACCGAAGTGGTGACTAACTACAGAATAAAAACGAATACATAAAACAACCTAGATCAGCACATAAAAACAGCACAGCCGACCAACGCATTGCAATGAGGCACCAAGTTAAAAATAACAATACATGTTGAAATTGAGGATTCTTAGACTGTCCCTCAATACATGAAAGAAAGAAGACGATAACATTTAAAACAAATAGTTGATAAAACAATATATTTATATCATTTTATGTAAATTGTACCTTCACAGAGTTTCCCAGAATAGCCTATTGGACAATCACAAACATAGCTTCCATTTGCATTTATACAATATCCAGAATTGTCACATGGACTACTGCTGCATGGTGTCACTGACAAAACAGTCATATATGTTTACAAATGATCTGAATTATTTATTTCAGAAAACAACATATTAGCCGTTATATCAAATACATGTTTACAATTATTAAAGATATTTCACAAAAGAAAATGAATTTGTATGTCCCTAGTCATATGCCTATAATTCAGTTGTTGTCTGGATTATTTGCTCTTTACGTTATTGATCAAGTATTGATTTAATATTCATTCTGTTTTGATTTAGACACCACTGATGGGTCTTATGAATACGAAACGCACATATTTATCTTACTATTAAATATTTGTTGAGTCTTTACAATTACTGGGACGATGTCATTGATACCGAACCTTTGTCTCCGAAAGCATCATCAGCTCAGTAGTCGTTGCTCATGTGTTGACATAAAACATTATTGATGCGGACCTTTTTAATTCGTTGTTAATAACACACGAAAGGCATTCAAAACACTAGTGTTTTTCTAACCAAGATATTTATGGTCTTAGTCAGATTTGGCATTACTTATTTCAGTATGTAATATAAATACTTATTTCTTTTTAATAGATTTTACATTCCAACTGTTTTGAATTGAGAGTCACATATGATGAGTCTGGTACAGATGAAACGAGCGTCTGTCGCATTAAAAAAGATAAAACAACACGTTATAAATTTCATGCGTCCGAAGCGCTTTTCTTAAATCATTTCTAATATCCCTAAAGCATATGAATAAAGGATATTATTTCTACTTATCTTCTACGTTTTATCTTTTTAAATACGTCACAGTTACCTTCACATAATTTGCCCGAATATCCCTTTAAGCAATCACATTTAAAAGAGTTTCCCGATATAGAACAGCTGCCACCATGGCCACAAGGATGGCTTTGGCAAGGCGTTACTGGAAACAAAGATGATTAAATATACTTTCGTTTTCAAAAATAGCTTTTCCATATCAGCCAATTAAATTGTTTACAAATATTTAGTTTTGAGGTATTGTCAGTGTATTAAATCGGATATTAAAGTTTTGCAATAATTTTATTTTACTTTTATTATTATTGATACTATTTTACAATGCATTTTGATGTTTTAGATGATAGTATAATTGAAGATATAACTACCTTACAAACTATTATGAATTAGTTCTTTCTGTTACCTAAAATAGTCATTCCTGTTTACAATCAATCGGTTGTTTTTTCTTTATAGTTTTGTGTTTATCAGATTAAGTTTTAAATTAAGATTCAACTTAGTTTTGACTGGAGTGCCAATCTTATGAGTAGACATAACGCTCGTCTTTCGTATTAAACTAAAGACCTGATATCTTTGATGAGCTTACTGACACTTGGCAAATATTATGACCACATTGTATAAAACAGCAGGCCTGCTGTTTTTTTCTGGTTCAATTGTCACGTTTAAACAAGTATAACGTTTATAATTTTAGATATAGCTTAACATTCTTTTATATTTAAGTACGTCCCTTATAAACTGGTACCTACTACTACGAAAATACAGTAATCATGTTTATGCGCTGTCAAAAACAAGTCGTGAACCCATGGATAATACAAATTACTTGAAAGAAATACCTTCACATGATGAACCATAGAAGTCATTTCTACATAAACACTGACAGGTAGCTCCTGATACAGTTTTTGTTCCTCCATTATAACATGTAAACCCATCACATGGATCAACTATAAAAAACGTTGATATCTTAGTAGATGAAGTGGTTTTTCTTGTTGGTCAATTCAGACATAATCAAAGCATTTATGACACAATATGTTTTGCATGTTTAAATGCGTTAATGGGTTTTAATATCCAAATTAGATACGCTGTAGTATTCGTTTGATCACTTAAACTTGGATTGGTTTGTACCCCCCGTTGAAGATGACCGTAGACAGATTTGGACTTTTTTGTATTTAATAAGAGCTTTGTTTATGATTGTATCTTACTACAAATGTGTTTCAAGCGTTAATAACTAGTCTAATATAGACGATACATGTGTCTGTCGTTAAAATTATTGATATCTTTTGTGAATTTTACTTTGTACAGGAAATTTTTAATTACTTTCAAAACGATTGGTCTCATGCTATTGTATGAGTAATTCCAGAAACATGAGTCATACACACTATAATCGGTTATCATTGAAGTACTTCTATGACAATTGAAAAAGTTAATGTAAAATTAAATATTTTACTCCTCGTACAGTCTTTCATCCTGCAAATAAGCATGTATGATAGGATGAAATTAATTTTAAAATCTTACCTTCACACTGTTTTCCAGAATATCCTGTTGGACAAGCACATACGTAACTTTCATTAAAGTTGAGACATGACGCAGAGTTTACACATGGGTTACTGTTGCATGGTGTCACTGATAAATTAAGTGATTGTAAGCAAATTAATAGCATGTTTTTATTGACATCAGAACTATGTATTTTTGGTAAATCACTGTTCATTTTATATTACATCCCAGTTTCAATTGCATATTAGATAATTGTGATACCTAATTTGTCTGATTTAAAAGAATTTCATCTATATGTAGAGTTAAAATTCCTTCTTATGACTATTTCAAATAAAAAACAAATGTCAATTCTACTTATCTCATGAAGTACTTTCTTCTTTATTTGCATGATTGTAACAATAAGACATACCTTCACACAAGCGGCCTGAATACCCTCGTGAACATCTACAGTTAAAGCTGCTTCCTTTCATATCACAACTGCCTTTATAGAGACAAGGTTTCCTAGTGCAAGGAGTTACTAGAAACAGATTATGATAACTACCATTACAATTTATCTCGCGATTTTGTTTGATTGGAAATGTATAAAAATCTATCTATTTGCACATTCTACTCCTTTCAAACACACTGGAGAATCAATTTTACGATATACTAAAATCAAAATTAATAGTCTAGCATTTACGATTTTCGATTTTCTGAAGAAAATAAATCTTTACATTACTCAAGATAGTTGAAAAGGTGTTCTTGATTAATTTTAGGTAGAAAAAGGTAAGGCAAAGATACCAAAGGGGAATCAACAACTATATGTCAAATAAAACAATACCATAAATGTAAAAACTAACGAACAGAAAAACAGTAGACCACCAAACACTATAATGAAAACAAAACGATAGCACACAAACGCTGGGGCTAAACTAAGATCATCAGGAAGGATTTTAGGGTAAAACTTGTACTTAATGGAATTTAACATTAAGGTTGCGTTGACTTTTTCCTAGATTCGAAACACTATCATTTATACTTATTAACGGTTGTATACTGAAATATCAAAAAATACAATTTTAATCTTTACAAGATTTTTTTTTTGGTAATTAGCAATTTGCCACGATAAATTGAATATGATAGTAATTTCATATTTCAAATTCTTTGGATAATTTAGCCGCAATTCATCTACTTTCGTTTTTGTAGGCAGAATATGTTATTTTGCAAGACATCTTGAATTATTATCACATACCAACAAATAAGTTTCTTTATGAACGAGAATTTATTTCACTTTTTCTAAAAGTTCTAATCAAAGGATAAATAGTCATTTATTCAGCTTTTATTGAAAAAAAAAATTACCTTCGCACAATTTTCCTGAATAACCTTCTTGACATCTGCAATTGAAACTTTTTCCCGTCATAAAGCAATGACCCCCATGAAAGCAAGGTCCGCTACTGCAAAGTGTTTCTGAAATAAATAAAAAATGAATCTTGGCAAACATCATGTCGTGATTTCTAATTTTTAGTCATGATTGCTAGTTTCATGTCCATATCTGTCATATTTTATTGTTACTTGTTATAATCTTATCATTTATATAAAAAACGCGTATGCATATTTTACATGTCATGCATTGAACGAATTTAATATGTGGAAAGAAAATAAAAGTTCAACAAACGGACAACACAAATCATAGTAAACACATCTAGGCAACAACAGCAAATATATGTAAAAAAAGCTATAAATATGAAACTACTTTGTTGGCATCCTAATATATATTCGCTCCTTTTTTGATATCGCATCCAGTAAATCTGCAACTTGAACATATAATCATACCCGGACACTTTTGTCCGACTCCGAACTGACCATTCTGTTTGCGTATTCTTAATTAATGGACGATACGAGGATAATTTGCCTAAAAGGTAACATCCCAGTAGAGTTTTTGGACATATTGTAGTGTAATTTTTACCTGTACATTTATCGCCAAGGTATCCAGGCGGACACACGCAGGTAAACGTTCCATCAGCATGAAAACATGATCCAGAGTGTTTACATGGACTGCTGCTGCATGGTGTATCTAACAAAAACATTCTGATTTGCCAAAAAATATACGCACAAACAAGATTATTTAACTATTTTTATTAGTTTAAGATCTAAACATGAAACACAATTATAGTTTGAATGTTAACAGGATATTATATAAGGCCGTATTGTGACCCTTAGTTGCATAAATACACGTCATTTAAACTCTGTTTGATATTTGTCTCTCGTTGAAAATAAGGACACATCTCTTTTTTCATATGCTTCACATTTCATTCATTTGAGTTTGGTATTTAAATTTGAATTATCATAAAATATGTTCAAGTATAACTTTCATTTACGTTTAGGCAATAATTTTTATTATACCTAAAGTTTTACATATAAAGTGCAAACACAAATTTCATCCGTAATGTTGCTCATAATAATCAAACATTTGGTGAAAGGTCTCATGCGGTGATGTCAATATAGATGAAAGGAAGGCCGCCTTGGCACAAATATAAATTTGAATAACACGATCTTAAAGTGTTGCTTCTTTGACAATAACTACAGTTTTCTAGGAATATAAGAAGTTTCATATCCTTTATACAACTACAATAGACTAACATTAAAATATATCCACTGATAAAGAAAACACTAGGTACTGAGATTCTTGTCTTAGGGCTACATTTTATACCAACGACAAATAAAAACCACTTGTATTTGCCACAATCCCTGCTGCCATTAAGAGGACATAACCCTTCTTAATAATTCTCTAATTTTCTTGTTTTTTTCATATTTCTCGATCGGTGTAAAAAAAATATATCTCATCTCTAGAGAAAACTTTTGTTCTTGGCAAATGATTGATCAAAATTCAATTATGACGTCAAATTTTCTTGATTTCTTCTGAATTTCCTACTGTAATGTCATGAAAAAAAAAGCGACCATGCTTGATGACGTCACATATAAAGAACACAACTTTCTGCCAATTTTAAGAAAAAGGATAAACTTTGTTCAGATATCGTAATCATTAGAGAAACAGATGTTTATCACTATATCTCGTGTGTTACAATATTTCTCCACTCTCAACAGTTAAATTTTAGATATTTCAAAAAAGGTCGGCACAGCCTTGCGTTTTAAAATTAAAAAAAACAACTGTCCCAAATGGAGAAATATCCTTAAACACTTGATGCAGTGCAGGAATCTATATATTGTTTACATGCCTTAAAGTTTAGATGAAATGTATTTACCCGAGTTAAATGTTACAAAATTACATCCATTACCCTTTTTCAACCTAAATATCATAATTTCTAGAAAAACAAAAACGTTAATCAGGCACTGTTAAAACGTTAAAAGAATGTCTTTTTTATAATGGGGCTACTACACTTTGTACCTTCATTTTACACACGCAAAATAAAAAAGGTAAAGATGTGTAGCTCTAAATCTTTTCTAATTTCTCCAGTGATAAATTTCAAAATGATTTAGAAGATAACGTTACATGCACAGTTGAATTTCGGTGGATTACCTGACTGTGTTAAGTCCCTTTTGTTGATATCCATGCATTTAAGCACTCATACAACTTTTGATTTCTAATTTTTATGATCCAGCATTCCAAAAGAAGATAAGTCGAGGAAAAGCACTTTTGACTCTCCAAATTTACAAAGGATTTGTTAATTACTAGCATTTGGTCAATACAGTAGGTATTGCCAACCTCCCAGGATGTCCTCAGCTTAGTAAATAAATAATAAAATTTTTCTTTGATAAATATTGACATTGTGAAGAAACTACAGATCAAGCTCCCTCAGGTAAACTTCACCTAAATGGTTTCTGAAGTTCAATTTACAAAAGTGCATCGGACGCTTAATATTATTAATTTAAAGTGTTTAATTCCTTGACCAACATAGCTTTGATTCATTGATGATTTTAGTGTCAATCAATAGGGTAATCCGGTAAAAAAGTCTGACTGGTGTATATAACTAAATATACTTTAAGAATAGACAACGGAAACGAGGAATGTGTCAAAGAGACAATATCCAGATCAAAGGACAGAAAACAGTCCAAGACCACCAATGGGTCTACAACGTAGCAATAAAATCCCGTACCCGGAGGTTGGTCCCTAAACAATAATGCATACTAGTTCAGCGAAATTGACGCCACACTAAACTCTGAAACATACAAATTAACCAAAATTAAAAAATCATACCAGACTAACAAAGGCTAGCGGTTTCTGACTTCGGACAGGCGCAAAAATGCGGCGGGGTTTAACATGTTTTGTGGGATCTCAACCCTCTCCCTATACCTCCAGGCAATGTGGAATAAACAAACAAACAGCAAAACGCACAATTAAACGCAAAGTTTAAAAAAAGTCCGAGTCCGATGTTAGAATAGGTAACAGAAGAAATTAAACAAAATGACAATGATAAACATAAATTAGAAAAGGACTACTAGCAATTACTGACAT